ATTGAAACCTCTATATCTAACATTGGACAGGTCCAAATACAAGCTGGACAAATTTAAGGTCTTTTTTTACAAATGACAGATTATTCATATTTATAAATTAATATTTATCTATTATATATTACAAAAATTCTGTGTTTAAAAATTTGAAAAATTTTTGTTAGAAAATGCTATAGTTAAAATGCTTCCTAATGTGTGGGGAAGCAAAAATCTCATCAAAAAATGCAAAAAAAGTTTTTAAAATTTTTTTTTTTTTTATAGCAGAATAAATTTTAGAAAAAAAAAGTTAAAATTAGACAGACTGGAATATTGGTGGGTCAAGTGTATTTCATATAATGTTTATTATATTCATCATTATAATATTTTAGAATTATTGCTGAGAATTTAACAAATTTATGTTAAAAAATAGTTGCAAATAAGAGACTAAGAACAAATGTTATAAAATTGCTAGACTGTACAAAATGCCAGATTCAAAATTCCACAATACACTGTGAAATTTCAACCACTAGGGAGAGTATTAACAGCAGTTGATTGTCATATTATTATTAACCCATTGTTAATATAATCTATAATAATCAGCCTTTGTACAAACAAACAATTTGTTTACTAATTACATAGCCCCCACCTGGTTCCTATTCAATACCATTTAACTCGTTTTAACACCTTCCGTCAGATGTACTGTTTGTTTGTGTTAAAGCAGATCTAACTATAGAGTTATCATTACTATAGATTTCAACAGTTTTAATTGCCCCATTGCTCATCCCAAAATAGGTATGTTTTTTTTTAGTTTCTCCTAGAATCAAAGGACCAAAAAATTTTTCGACCCCTGGGTTAAGGAAATTTACTATCATTTTAAATGCCCAGAAATGCACGCCCAATATTTTGTAAAAAATGAAAAGAATAATTTAGCTGTCATCATTTTTAATTGATTTAAATTTTTCCATTATAAAATATAATCAGATAAAAAAAAATAGAAAAGAAAATTAAACAACAGTTTTAAAATTAAGGGTATTTAAGTGAAAAAATGTATTGGGTACTTTTATTGTAAGAATTGATGTTAAATTGTAAGGGAGTACAAATTTATGATAAAAAAAGTGATATTTTTTAAGGAAGTTAATGGTTAATATTTGAGATTTTTGTGACGTTTGGCTAAAATATTACTAACTTATACTTGGGATGACAGCATAATTGTAATGTAATAAGTAAATTGGATTTATTTTATGACAGTTATATACATGCCTAAAAACTACACTGTGGCATGAAATTGTTCTAGTAAGAGCGTTACATGACATTTTCAGTTGTGGAAAGCTAATTTGATTAGATTTTAGATTTGATTGGATTTTGTGAGAGAACGATATTCCAAGTGTTGAGTATAACTTGATTCATGTTTGGAATAAAATGCGTATTATTCCGAAGAATTTGTGCACCAGAAATCATGTGTGGTGTAAGGTAAGGGGAATTTATTTTGTCTAGAAATATTTTTTTGTAATGTATCAGTTGTACAGAAGTACTGAAATATGATATCAGTTGTTAGGAAGTACTGAAATATGATATCAGTTGTTAGGAAGTACTGAAATATGATATCAGCTGTTAGGATGTACTGAAATATGATATCAGTTGTTAGGAAGTACTGAAAGTTATGTAGGGAAAATTTGTTTGGTTGTTTTATGGCGCACCGACACCAACACAGTTTAGATCATATGATGTCAAAACAGGAAAGATGAATTTGGCAACCCTCTGGTGTTACAAACTTTAAAGCAACACTTTGGGTTAAAACCACCTCTCCTGCTGGGTTTAAGGGATGCATAGACTCTAGTATTTGGAACTCATTCAGTTGCCCCTAAATCACGCGCAGCGCTAACTTGATGGAATTTGTCTTAATTTTGAGCTCCTTCACCAAATGAAGAAATACTTTTATAAATTTTAGCAAGTGATTCAGGAAATAATTGAAATTTGTTGACATGGTGTATGTATGCACATTTAATGCTGTTTTTGCTGATAGTGCATTTGAAATGTTTTAATTATTGTTTGATAATTTTAAAATCACGTTTTTTTATGGTAAAAAATACACAAATAGAAAATATTTGTTCTAAAATGCTTTATACATAGTGTGATAAACAAGTAAACAAACGATTTTGTTCAATGATAAGATTTGTTCAACTGTACAATAATAGACTTTAATTGCAATGGAGAGCAAAAAAAATCCAAGATAATTACCCATTGTTAACAGAGATTAAAATCTAATCTGTCAATTTAAAGGTATTGAAATAAAAATGATGAAAAGTGGGTATTTTAAATGTTTATTGATCTCTGACAGGCTTATTTACTGACTGGCAATAAAATACAAGAAAATAAATGTCTTAATTTCTTTTACTTTCAAAGGATTACTTTTAAGTCTGGTTTGAAAAAATTGTAAGATTTTGAGATTTTACAGATTTTAAAGACCTAATCAGTTAAAGACCTAATCAGTTTTGGAAAATTAGATGTTTTTTATGTGTTCTGACAAGATTTCCATCTAGGTAAATGACCGTTAGACCAATTGACAATTTGAATGTTGGTGATGAACTGATCTTTCAATGCAACATTATATAAAGTCGAGCAAATTTTGGTGCAGTCTCAGATATTTTGGCTTATTGGTACTCAGACACCGTATTGAACAAAAAAGAATCTCAAGTTTAAAGCAAGGTGTATCGATCATACCAAATTTAGCATGGTTGCAGGTTTAATTTTTTGTGTACTCTTTCTAAATTTTCATAAATGGTTTGCCCCTTTTTAGAATAAATAAAATAAATTTGCATTAATCTGGAGGCATGCTCCTTTAGACAATTAATAAGTATTGAATTTGGAGGCGTACTACTTTTAAGAAATAAATTTGCATAAATCTGGAGGCTTGCTCCTTTAATCAATAAACTAGTTTTGAATTTGGAGGCGTGCCTCTTTAAGAAATAAATTTGCATAAATCTGGAGGCATGCTCCTTTAGACAATCAATTAGTATTGAATTTGGAGGCGCACTATTTTAAAAAATAAATTTGCACAAATCTGCTGGCATGCTCCTTTAACCAATGAATTAGTACTGAATCTGGAGGCTTTTAAATTGCTTATATCAGCGGCATGCTCCTTTAAAGAACAGATCACCATAGTTTTGCTATTATATGACTGGAGATGATTTAAAAACAACCTTTAAATTTTTCCATGGGTAATGGGTTTTTGTAATTTGTGTGAAATTTTCCCTTTAGCAAAAAGTAATTCGGTTTTTTTGGCCCCCGGGGGCCTTTCAATTACTTAAGTTTGATGGTTAAATTTTATTTTTATTGATTAAAACCTGTAAAAAACCCAATAAATTAAAAATTATAAATATTGAAAAATTTTTCCCTTTTATTTTTCAGTGAAATATTATTAAATTTATAGATTTTAGAAAAAAAATGATTTAAATGTTAGTAAATTCCCTGCAAGTAATTGACATATCAAGTTATTCCCTACAGTTAATTGACAGATCTAAATATTCCCTGCAATTGATTGACACATATAACCCTTCCCTGCAATTAATTGACATTCCCTGTAATAATAAAATTGACATAATTAACTCTTCCTTGCAATTATTTGAAACACATAATTCTTCCCTGGAATAAATTGACCAGTGGGTGCCCTTCCCTGTAATTAATTGGTCAATTAATTGTTTTTCCCAATAATATATTGATTTAATTAGATTTACCAATTAACTGCAATTAATCAATGTTTCCCCCCCCCCCCGGTAATTTTTTTGATAACTGTGTCTTAGCCCCGAATAAAATAACAAATGTAGATTAAAATGGTTTTAAAAATTGTAAAATGTTGAAAAATCAAAAATGGGAGTATCTGCTATGAAATTTCATATGTTCCTAGTGAAGTAAAATTGTAAAACTGCCTTATTTTTGATAGACCACCGCTAAATCTGTGATATTATCTTTATTTCAAGTGCATTTGTGACCTAAAAAAACCTGTAATTTATTACTTTGTGTATTATAATTCACAACTTATAAAAACAAAAGAATATCTAGTTGTTTTACTTTGAGATTACGGAAAAAAAAAGAGACTATTAATTATAATTTGTGTAGCATGTGCAGTTTTGTTGGGTTAATTTATCTTCGTTTCATGATTCTGATAAAATGGTGAGTTTTTTATGTGAGTTTTTTTTCCACATGTTGTGAGGAATCTGTATGAAAGAATTGGTAGAATTGTTTATTTATGCTATGCAAATGTTTATGTGATATGATAAATTGTTTTCATTTATGATAAGTTTGTGAAACAATATTGGCATTTGAATTTCTTTGTACTGAATTGTTTATAGATATAACCAGAATTTGTAAGCAATATTCATTTGTGCAAAAAGTGTAAACAAACTCTTGTTTCCTTGGTGTAACAATATTTACTATCTGTTGTAAAAGAAAAAAATCTGTGTTGAGTGGGGTAGTGGGGAATGGATGGAGGGGATTGGAACAATTATTTTTGTCTATTGAAGAAGGATAAAGATGAAGATATATAATGAGAACTACATTTGTACAAGAAAAAGTTTAAAATACAATTGAAGCATGATCAAAGCTTGATGTATAATTTCATACTTTTTTGTTTCAGTGTACAACATTGTTAAAGCTCTGAGCTTAACTTAGAATAGAAAGAGCTATTGTAACTAACCCTTTTAATCTATAAACTATTGAAGGGAATGAGTTGGAATTTCAGACACTTATTTGAGAGCATAATAGGAGATCATTTTGACAGAATTATTATTATGGAAGCAGAAAGTTACCTGATCAAGGCATTAATGTCTTATATCCTGATTTTTGCATTTTTTTGTCATCTTTAATCTTGATCCAGATAGTGCAAATTGAAATAAGATGGGATGAAATTGGTGAAATAATGTTTAACATTAACATAGATTATGTTATTATTTGCTTGTTTGTGTTGGACAATCATATTGACATATTAGATATATTAATTTTAATGGTTATTTTCCTTCTACTTTCAGAGTTCCGACAATGTGGTATGGGAGACACACAAAGTTGCGTTAACCAGGGTAAGTTTTATTTTTCATTTGAACACTTCCAGGTGTATTTTCATTTCCAATACAGTTTAGAAGCCTATGCCAGCAGTGTATTTACACTGAGTCATCTAGTGAGTTGTTTTTTGTGCAGTTGGGCTCTAGCTGCTGATTTTGAGTTACTTGAGTAATTTATATGTGAGAAAATGCAGAAATTGCTTATATCAGTGTTAGACATTTTTAGACCCCCGTCTTTTAAAAGTGATCCGACTTATGGGTGAGTAAATGTAAAAAAAGTACATTATAAATGTTAAAACTTATGGGTGAATAAATGTGAAATGTTTGTGACATAGACCATAAAATGTGAAAAATAAGTGTTTTGTGTCCTCAGAGAAAAATTAAAACATAAAATTGTGCCCGAGTAATTAAGGGTACCTTTTAGTGTTTAACTGTTAATGTGAGCATAACCATTAAAGATTTTAATGAAATTTTAATTATGCATGAAGTCTTATTACCATTTCATGCAATGTATATAGAAGTTCAATCAGTTTAAAAAGCAATCTATCTCTGTGAGGTTAAGGTGAACTTTTCGAAGACTATTGCTTGAGATAATAAAATTAGTGTATTGTCTTCTTTTAGAGTAATAACGGTTAAGCAGCGCAGGTTTTAGTCTGTTCAGTTAGTGCATTAGGGTGGGCATTAGATTTTAAGTCCAGAGGTTGCTGGTACGATCCTCTTGCAAGACAAAGTTTCTTTGTTACGGTTAACCTTGGACTTTGATCATGAGTCTAATGGGCAATTGTTTCTGAATAAAATATCAAATGATGATGGTAAAGCCGTGTAGGCTAGTAGTTTATTGTTCCTAACATTTAAATGGTGAAATACAATGATTTAAAATGTTATAATAATTACAGGTACCTGGTTTCGGATTTGGTATCGCAGTGAGCGGAGGCAGGGACAACCCACATTTTGCCAACGGCGACCCATCTATAGCAATCTCCGATGTCCTGAAAGCCGGACCTGCCGAGGGCAAGTTACAGTAAGTATGATGCCATACCTGGCAACAGTTACCAGGCAACAGTTAACGAGCAACAGTAAAATGAAAGTATGCCATTCTTGTACAGTAAAATCCATCTTAAAATACTAAAGCAGCCATTGGCATCACACACATACTTGGCTGTATTTTCTTTTCATTTGATTGCTAAAGAGTAATTCTTTGTTTTCATATTTTATATTTTTGGGAAAAGGTAAATCTGTTGTATGAGGGCCGTCTGTTAAGTTTATTTCTTAAAATTCACAAATATTAGATATACCAACAAAGTAGTTTTGAAGGACTTCTTGAGAGTACTTATGTAATGTTTGTAATAAGATAAAAATAAGATAGGATCATAGATTGTGAAACCTCTTATCGTTCAGTTTGACCTTTATATATAAATTGACCTTTAGAAATAGAGAAGGTTGAGATATGAGAGGATGGGATGCCATCAGTTGATGTCCTTATAGAAAAACAATTGTCCCGAGACAAAGCCTAAATCGATATAGATTTATCTCAAGAGGCCGTCATATTGTCTGCTTTTATCTGAGTATATGTACAAGCCTGTATTTTGTATATCACTTTATATCAATATTTATATGTATAAACCATAAGGTCACATTTGAAAAAAAAATAGTATTTAAGGGTGAAACGTACCATTTTCTTTGATCAAAAACTTTTCTTTACTTTTATATGCACATTTTTGCATTTTCCTGGAACGAATGCATGTAATATTCAACAATTTTTTTTTTACCGTTTTTACCTTTATATGCATATTTTACTTTTTCCTGGAACAAATGCATGTAATAGTGTCTCAATCTGTGTAGCTTATTCCAAGGTAAGTCCTTGGCTTAGTGAGTCAACCCAGGGTTTGAATCCTACGTAGGTCATGGCCATGTTCCATGTCTATGACACCTGTACTGGTCAGTTTAAGAAAGTGGACTAGGGAGTGGCTTAGATAAGCTTCAAACTTCAACCATATTTAAACTTTAATAGATACATGTTTAAACTATGACTGATCAACTAATTGAAGAGAGAAAGTATTTGGACTACAGACTTTCGAGTTGTTATTTTGCGTCCCATTCATGGGATATGCATTGGTATTTTCCTTTCATACTGTTTTACTGTCTCCAAGGTTACTGTAACCAACAAACATACATGGCAGACATCTATAGGAATAGCCAAAAAAAAAAATGTTGTAAATACTCACATAAAAGTCTGCTCACCTATAAGTCGGGGGTCTAAATTTGTATGTATATTTGTATTTCAGGATAAACGACAGAGTTTTAAGTGTAAATGGAATCTCCCTGGAGAATGTTGACCACGCCACAGCAATATCCGTACTTAAGGACAGTGGTAGTACTGTGAATCTAGTGATCAGGAGAAGAATTGTATTACCTGCCTCGTTAGAAAATGAAACGCCACCATTGAAAGTCTCATTGACCAAAAGAAACAGAAAAGATGGTAAATATAGCAATTAAAATAGTGTAAAATCATGATTTTGTCAGGAAAAAATAAGAGAGTTTCTTTGATTGGTTAATTCTTGTTTAATATATGAAGAAACAGGGTCATGACCCTAATGTGGTAGAAACAAAAAGTGTCTATGTCGAGAAGTAAACTTCAGCCACTGAAGCACCTGTCTTGTTAATAAATATGTTAAAATACAATTCTTGTAACATATGAGGAAACAGGTTAGTGACACTAATATGGTATAAACACCCAGTGTCGAGTGTCAATGTTGAGATACAAACTTCAGCAACTAGACCACCTGTTCTTATTTTTAGATATTATGTTTAAATACCCTTAAAAACCATTGCAACTCTGCAAAAGGGGCCCTCTGTAAAGCAATAACCTCTACCCAACAAAAGTAACAATTGTTCCTGATGTAAAACTTCACAATAATTTTACCTTCCTAGAGCAATACCTCTGTGCAACAACCAAAGTTTTTTTGCCTCCGGAGGGTGTTGCTCTGCTGAAGTTATATTGTATTTTTAACATAAATTTCTCTTTTGTCTGGTACTTTCCTTTCTATTGTTTTCCTTAGTTTTGGTTGAATAAATTCACACCAATGATTTATCATACATTATACAATCTTTACATATCCAGGAAAAAGTTTTTACGATAACTGCCTGGTGTTTATATTATAACCGAAATATGGTTATAAAAACTGGCACTTAAATAGAAACTAAACTGTTCTTGAACTATAAACTATAAAGGAATATTTTTTTAACATAAAACTTCCTATACATTTCCCCCTAAGTTTTAATTGTTTTCCTGATAATCATTTATGTTAAAGATAACATTATTTATGAAACCTTTGGCAATAATTTATGAAACCTTGGCAATAATTTATGAAACCCCGGCATACTTTCTATATTAGTGCCTGGTGTAATTTTACAGATATATTTGAAAAAGAAAAGAAAAAAAAACAAAAAAAACTGGCTCTTTATCAAAAAAGGTAAAAACAAATGAGTAAAGAAATGCATCATAATATATCTTCAGAATATGGTGTAGTGCTGGGATGTAGATATTATATTAAAGAAATCATTCCAAATAGCCTAGCAGCTCAGGAAGGTGGTCTTAAAGAAGGCGATACTGTTTTAAAGGTAATATATTAAAAAAAAAATAATTTTTTTTTCAAAAATAGACAATCGTTTTGTCAATGTTAAAAAACTATTTTGTTAAATAATTAACATTCATTATCAATACTTATTAACCATTTTGTTAATGAAATATATGTATCAGTTATTGGCAAGAGTTAAACTATATTTTTTCCAATAATAACAATCATTTTGTCAATGTTTAAAAACTATTTTGTTCAGTAATTAATATTTATTATCAATACTTATTAACCATTTTGTTAATGAAAGATATGTATCAGTTATTGGCAAGAGTTAAACTTTTTTTTCCAATAATAACTATTATTTTGTCATTATTTATAAAACCATTTCGTCAATTAATTAACATTCATTATCAATACTTATCAACCATTTTGTTAATGCTAGATATCTATCAGCTATCTGTAAAAGTTGAGCTCATTTTGTCATTGTTCTGCTTTAATAAAATGAGGACTTCACAGAATTTTAGACTTATATCAAGTATTTATAGTCCATCCGCTTACTTAAATAGGATGATGATCCATATGATTTGTAATCCAAGGGTCGCCAGTTCGATCCTTTGGTTAAGTGAAATTTCTCTTTGACTGTTGATCTCGGACTTTGAGTCTAATGTTCATTTGTCTCAAAACATTGCTTCAGAAATCGTGGGATAAGTTGTCAGTCACTTGAGAAGAAACTGGTAATTAGTGGTTAATTATCCAGGAAAGTTGGTTAGGTGGACCGTCCACTAAGATATGATGAAAAACTATGTAATGGTAGCTATTAAAACTGAACAAACAAATAGGGTTGCTGTAATATGATGAAAAACTGTGTTATGGTCGCTATTAAAACTAAACAAACCAATAGGGTCGCTGAAATATGACTAAAAACTGTCATGATCGCTATTTAAACTAAACAAATAAGATCAACCATTAAGTAAGATTTTATTTCCTTCGTGAATTTCAGATTAACAACTCTCCTATAGAAAGTATATCATTAGTGGATGCCAAGAAACTGTTGGAGAAGTCGAAAGAGAAATTACAGTTGATAATAACAAAGAAAAGAAATGAAGATAAAAAGACAGATGATGGTAAAGTTGCCTTTAAGTTTTAACCATTTTGAAGAAAGCTTGTTGCTGATTTCAACCACACTTAAGTCCTCTTCTTGGAACTAATCAGTACTGGTTGTTACCTAGAAGGGCTCGAAGCCATGAAACCTGGACTGAGGTGTAGGAAACTTAACCACTAGGCCACTGCCCCCCCTTTATACTAGACTTTGATGTCCACTAGTTCCAGCCTCAAGAATCATGCTAAATTTTAATGAAAAATTTAAAAATAGGATCTAGATTGTAAATTTATTGTAAAGTGATTTTTAACTAGTCTAAGACTGTAAAAAATGTAAAAAAACTGGTGAAATGTTTATAGTAAGAAATTTTTTTTTTTCAAAAAGGACAGAAATTGATTACTTTAAAAATTTATCAAATTTGTTAAGTTAATGATATATTAATATGTTAATATTTTGAATATAATTACAGAATACTCACTCGGTTACGGAACTATGCAAAGTACTCTTCCGAAACACGCTGATAACGTGAACGTGTACAAGCCCCGCGGGAACCCTGAGGAGGACCACTACAAGGCTCAGTTCTCGCCTCAGGACATACCACCGGGGGCGTACCCACCAAATAGTCCACATTCCAGATATGATGGTAGATATATTTACGACCATGAGGCAGTCCCGCCCCGACCTCCACTTCCAACGGGAATGGATGATAGTAAGTTATAGAAATAACATTCTATTTATCTTCATGTTGTTTATTTAACATGCAGTTAGTCAAAATATGCAGCAGTTTTTGATAGTAACGTGGGTAGAATTTTGATAAATATTAAATTCTTTAATATTTTTCTTAGTATAATGTACCTTGAAAGTTTCACTTGTATTCTGAATATATATACATTTCTATCAATATATTTTTATTTTGTCTTTTTGAAGAAAAGGTCAAGCTATTATGATGGTTGCCATCATGAAAAAACTCTAATGTAGCCCATTATTTAAACATTTTAAAAGTTATGAACAGTTATGCTCCTTTTTAACTTAATCTTTTTGTTGTTAAAAGTGGTTATTTTAACAGATGAGCATTAACACTGCATGTTGTGCCCTTGTTCTAAGTCTGATATTTTGAAAATTTATGCTGGTGCATAAAATAATGCAAGGAGTGGCACTTAATTGAGGCCTTCCACCATTAAAAAAGATTGGAGGTAGTAATATGACCATTTATATTATTGATGTGACTTAAACTCCAACAAAAAAAACCCAAAAGGATTGAAGATTTAATGGTTATACATGTTTTCTTATATAGATAATGGAATGCGGGCCCGTAGTCCGGTGAAGGACGGTTACTATAGCGACAGAGAAGATCTGAAGAGAAGGAAATCTCACGGTAATTACGCCACGGTACACGATGACGCGGACATGGGTATTCTACGCAGACATCACGAAGAGTGAGTAATTATTATATTACCTCGTAAACTTGCTGGTATGCATACCGCGTAAATAATGTATGTATGTTTATGGTCCATTATATTTCTGTTCAATTATTGATGAAAATATTACGGCAAAAATTGTGTGTATTTTGATGATATGTATGTTTTTCCTGTCCAGTTAAAGAAATGAAAGTAAGAAATATGTCCAGCTAGCTTATTGAAGGTCACAGGTTCTACATGGTTTTGCCATAATTGGAAAAAAGGCTGGAAAATCACCTTTGATCATAACATGAAATAATTTTTATGATAAATATGTATTAACTGTCCAATTAAAAGAAATATAAATGAAAGCAAGAAAATATAAAACTGACTTATTGAAGGTCACCAGTTAAACATCGTTGCCTAAATAAAAAAAAAAGAAAAGTTACCAATGATAGGGTGTTTTACTGTGCGATTAAAAGAGTTAAAAATGGAGACAAAAAAGATCTATCATACAACTATCAGATTTACCCTACAAATTGTGAAGTGAAAGTAAAATTTTTTCATTGTTATTACAGGAGGTATGTAGGAAAGAGAAAAGACATCAGGCCCGAGCCACGTGCATGTACATTTCGTAAAGATCCCGACCTAGGGCTCGGTTTAAGACTAGCAGGTGGTAATTTAACAGGGATATTTATAGCATCGGTGCAACCAGGGAGTGCTGCAGAAGCTCAGGGGCTCACAGAAGGGGACCATATTCTTAAGGTAATATAATTTTTACACAATATAAGTCTAAAAATAGAAATGATGTAATAGCTAATCTATAAGGTCTTATAACTATGTTATAAAACTTACTACATCATATGCTTATATGTCATGTTTAAATAATGCTATAAAATTGAGGTGTTACAGTGTGTAAAGTTACATCTCTACCTGCAGTTTAGATAGTTTTTGTTTGAATTTTGAAAAAGAAGAACTCCAAAAGTCGTATGAAAGACATATGTTGCATTATGCTCGTAGATTTCCTTTGGAGTAAATGGTGCGCATATTAATTCTGTGCTAAACCGTTTAAATCCTACTTAATAAAGTAGGCTAATATTATATTCTGGAACATTTTATTCTGTTTTTTTACAGTTTTCTAGTGTGTTAAATAGCAAGGTAAGGGTTGAAATTAATTTCAAAGTGTTACCAATTCCATGTTAAATGTTGCTATGGTGTTAGGGGACATTGAAGGTAGCTTGCCATTACATCTTCTGTCCATGAACAAGCTGAATCAAAGTATGCTTCAATTTCAACTTTGCTGTGTTGAGCTTTCTTTAGGGATTCTGTTTTTTCTCTATTTCAGTATTTTACAGATCACTTTGCTATGTATTGTTAACTTTACTTATTGTTTTTATTTGAGCCGCGTCATGACAAAACCAACATAATGGGTTTGCGACCAGCATGGATCCAGACCAGCCTGCGCATCCGCGCAGTCTGATCAGGATCCATGCTGTATGCTATCAGTTTCTCTACATGTAATAGGGTTGGTAAGCGAACAGCATGGATCCTGATCAGACTGCGCAGGCTGGTCTGGATCCATGCTGGTCGCAAACCCATTATGTTGGTTTTGTCATGGCGCGGCTCAAATTTTGTGTATAACATTACAGGCAAATGATAGGGATGTAATTGGTTTAACCAGAGAGGAAGCAGTCACGTACCTGACTAGTTTAGATGGTACAGTAACAATGTTAGTGCAGTATAAAAAAGAAGGTAAAATAAATTTTAGTTTTTTCTGATTTTGAATTTTTTTTGGCCAAGCCATATTTAGATGTTACAATTCTAGTGCAGTATAAAAAAGAAGATACAAAATTGTTGTTTTGCTAATTTTGAAATTTTGTCAGCCAAGTCGTATTTAATGATGTATATTTCCTGTATTTATCTTTGAAAAAGGTGATTTTATTGAGAGAAAAAAGAAGTTACTAACTTCTGTTATAGCATTTCTTAAAGCTGTTTTTATTCTTGCTTTTTATTGGGAAAAAAGGGTAGTACTGACTTTAGTCTTTCTTAAAGCAGTCTTGTATATACTGTATTCCTAGAAAAGATTTTTCGCGGGTTTTAAGTTAGCGCTTTTCGTGGTAGGCATGATTCCGTGAAACTTTATATATATGTAGCTGCAATTATGTCACTTTTAACAAATCCGCGAACATTTCTACCAAATAAAAACATAAACGTGTAGAATATTTATTATAATTTCCTTACACAAAAAAAACAACATATAAACACAGGTGCAATAGAAATGTGTAAAGAATTGTTTAAAGTTCATCTCTTTGCTAAACCAGGTTTACCTTCATAAGCTGATCCAACAGAATGATAAGTTAAAATCAAATTTTGCAGTACCATATTTACTTACAAAAGGTAATAATGATTTAACACAGATTTAGCGGCAGTGTAACTGAACAAAGTTTACCAAGGCAATAATGAAAACTGTTTTAAAATGAAATGCTCTTAAAATGATAATTTGCTTTCTATAACTTCATACAATGATTTACATTTTGCATTTGAAAGCAAAAAAATAAATTTTTCTTTAGTTTATGTCATACATGTACGTTAAAATTATAATATCTATTTTTAGATTTTGATCGGATTATGACGAGTCACGAGGCAGGGGACTCATTCTATATCCGCACCCATTTTAATCACGAACAACGGGAACCTGGTGAACTGTCATTTGTTCAAGGTGACATCTTTCATGTGAAAGATACACTGTTTCGAGGAGTGGTTGGTTCCTGGCTGGCCATTAGAATGGGACGAAATAATCAGGAGACCCAGAAAGGAATTATTCCAAATAAAAATAGGTATATATACACTTATAATACATGTTCTGTTAAAGACTTGATTTGAATTTTTATGCCCCCGCCATGTAATGGCCGGGGCATATAGTGTTACCCTGTTCCGTCATTCCGTCCTTCCGTCCTTCCATCCTTCCGTCCTTCCGTCATTCTGTCATTCCGTCATCATCAGTTTCCGTTCATTATCTTAAGAACGGTTGCACACATTCAACTCAAATTTGACATATGGATATGTCATGAGAAAATACAGGTCAAGTTCGAATTTGGTCATGGTTCGATGATTTTTGGCAGAGTTATGCCCCTTTTACTTTGAAAATAATATGAAATTTCAGTTTCCGTTCATTATCTCCCAAATGGTACAACACATTCAACTCAAACTTGACATATGGATATGTCATGAGAAAATACAGGTCAAGTTCGAATTTGGTCTTGGTTCGATGATTTTTGGCAGAGTTATGCCCCTTTTACTTTGAAAATAATATGAAATTTTCAGTTTCCGTTCATTATCTCCACAAAAGTACAACACATTCAACTCAAACTTGACATACGGATGCGTCGAAGGAATGCGCAGGTCAAGTTCAAATTTGGTCATGGTTCAATGATTTTTGGCAGAGTTATGCCCCTTTCACTTTGAAAGTAATATGAAATTTTCAGTTTCCGTTTATTATCTCCCCAATGGTACAACACATTCAACTCAAATTTGACATATGGATATGTTTTTGGAATGCCCAGGCCAAGTTCGAGTTTGGTCATGGTTCAATGATTTTTGGCACAGTAATGCCCCTTTCACTTTGAAAATAATATGAAATTTACAGTTTCTGTTCATTATCTACCCAACAGTGTTACATATGCAACTTAAATTTAACATATGGATATGTCAAAGGAATGGGCAGGTCAAGTTGGAATTTGGTCATGGTTTGATGATTTTTTGGCAGAGTTATGTCCCTTTCACTTTGAAAATAATATAGATACATCTTAGGAATAAGCAGTTTAAGTTTGAATTTGGTTGTAGTTCAATGATTTAAGACAAACTTATCTTTCCTGAATGTTGGAAAAATTTTGAACTTTCACTTTCAGCACTTATTATTTTGGCTACAAATATGCAATATGCTATTTAAAAGGTTTAGACTGAATAATTTCAGTGCCTTGAACATTGTATGAAAATGGTTTGTGTTAACATTGAAAAGTTTTAAGGGCTTTGAACTTAAAATGAAAAAAATAATTATTTTACCATCTGAAATTTTGGCTGCATGCGGGGCATCCGTGGCATGATGACACATTTCTAGTTTTTTGATCTGTTTGAAATCGATAAAAGGTAAAATTTTGGAATGTTTTGGAACACTTCATTTATATGTAATAAATGAATATGTCCATCATTATTATGAAATTGATAGAAGTTAAATTTTTTGGAACAATTTGGAATACTTCATGTTTATTTACATGGTTTTAGTTTAAACATATTTAATTGAACAAGTTCTTGCAACTTATAATAATCACTTCCGAGTCCGCTTCCTAGAACCAACCAGTACTGGTTTCATATGAATAAACATGGCTGTGACCCAATAAGGGCTTGAACCCATGATCACTTGGTTGAGAGACAGAGACACCTTAGGTATTAGGCCACCACTCCCCTTATAGATACATAAATGAATATGTCCATCACTATAATAGAAATTGATAAAGGGGAAAATTTCAGAATATTTTGAATCACTTCATGTATATACATAAATGAATATGTTATTTACAGAGCAGAGCAACTTGCTATTTCGAGTCAGACTACACCCGAGGAAGACAAAGAAAATTCTCCATCGAAAGGTCGCGGCCTTTTGTTCAAGAGGAAAGCTGCACGTCGCTCAAAGTCACTGAGCAAAGACCACTGGGAAGACATGATCTTCTGTAAGTTGCTATATATAAATTCACATGACTGACTATACAGTAATATATGCTGCTTTCTTATTTATAAAGTAACATTTTATTGTAACAGTGACTTAAATAATATATAACCATTTGTACATATTATTTTCCCCTTGTTGCTAAGGAGGTGCCTTTAAGGGTTGAGGCATCAGAATTGCAGAAGTTATATATAAAGTCACATGGCTGACTATACAGTACTATGTGCTGCTTTCTTATTTATAAAGTAACATTTATTGTAACAAGGACTTAAATAATATTTAACCTATAGCTCTTCAGCGCTTCTTATGTAAAATTCTTCCAAGTATAATTTCCAATAACCGTAAATTATACCATACCCAGACTATGGTATAATTTTCAGTTTTGAAGATCGAAGGAGTAGGTGTTTCTGGGCGGAGCTATAGGTTAAAACAGATACACCATTGGTGCGTTGACGATTTCTGGGTTTGCGTAAATTATACCATAATCACGTGACCTTTCTTATGCAACCTCACTCGACTTCGTCTCGTGAGGTTAAGGCATTCGTCTCGTGAGGTTAAGGCATAAGAAAGGTCAAGTGATTATGGTATAATTTACGCAAACCCAGAAATCGTCAACGCAGCAATGGTATATCTATTACATAACCATTTGTAAATTGAAATTATATAGACTTTTAACTTTTTTATGGCCAAGTATCAATGGTAGTAATATCATGATAATGCAAACAAATGAGCAATGGTTATATAAAAGATATCCATTCATACACGGCCATATAAACAGACTTATACAACATAGGGATAAGCTCTAAAAATAGAAAATTTTCCAAGCCTGACCCACAATTCCTTGCGCTAATTCATTGGCCCTGGAGTTGATAGATTTCCGCCATCTTGTTTTATATAACCAACTGTGTTTACAGTTGCATCCATTATTGAGAATAATTTACATCTATCTTCTTAATCTTTATTGCTTTTTTTTACATTTTTGCAAATTCTTTTTTGTTACTTCTTTTGACAGAGACTTATAGCTTTTTGCTTTTGATAATCATGAAAATTAATATAAGCATTACAGATCTTCAATGAAAAACAACTTAACTTTGGCATTGTTGATAGTTTGTCTTTGTTTCATAAATTTGTAAAAAAAAAAAAAAAAAAAATCTTCATTTAAATGATTTCTCTATCATGAAGTTAAGCAGAATTAAAAAAAACATTGTGGTGCAGAAATTTTGTTACTTCATTTACAAGCATGACAGAAATGGGATGAACAGAGCAGAATTATAAAAATAGTTGAAGAGTGGGAAATTATATTTTATTGAAAGATTGAAGTATTAACATTAATGGTGTGTGAATATTAAATTGTTGTTATTATAATACTATAGTGGACCCAGCAGGTGAGATATGTCATTTTGCCCTGTATGATTTTTTTTTATTACCATGTATCAATTATATATACAGAATGTATTATATAAAGCATTCACATAGTTTTAGACATTGACACTGTTGAAATAGCTTATTATAGTATTTTCCCCCCTCTAATATTGCTGTTTTTTCTCTTGCGCTAACTTTTTCTAGTAACTGATATTGATGTACATCTGTTTTAATTTATTGAAAGTTAAAAACTGTAGTTGAATTTTGTGAATAAAAATATCAGCATGTATAATGAGTAAAAGCACTTAATGAATATAATTAGTGAAAACCATTAGATCGATGTTGTAAGTAAAATCCTAGTTATATTCACAAACAGTGAAATTTCATATAGACTTATAGGAGAGTCAAAGCAAATTTTTACTTATTTTATGAAAATTTAGAACCGCGTCTTATAATGAAACTGTCATATAGATGAGTAAATAGGGAAGGAAAAAAAATCTAACAAAGTAAATAAAATTATGATAATGCAACAAATTTTGATAGTTAAATTACATTTTTTTAAAGTAAATGTTTAAATATTTGTTTTCTGTCTTTTTTTCATTTTGAGTAATATATAAAATATGGCATCAGAACTCATTATGGTCAAATGTGGTTCACATAAGCTCCTAGCTTCTCACAAAAAGCTCCTTGCTCCTCACAACTGAAGGAAAATAAATAATTATGTTTAATCTAAGAAAAAAAGATAATTTTTGGCAATATAATTAACCTGTAATGAGGTGAATTGTTTACTTTCAAAATGTATATTTGTAACTTAATTCGCCCAATGAAAACCAAAGGGGGTGTGGCTTAACATTCTGTACAGAATTATCATCCATGATTGGTAGAAAATTATCCTCCATAACAAGATAATAGATTAACAAAATATTTTATGAGGAAAACTTTCTGTTTTCTTGACATATACATGTAGGTTTTACCATTTATGTGTATAATGTAGTTTTTCTTTAGTAAGTTTTATACATGTATTTAGAAAGTATGAAAAGCAATATAAACCCTATTATAAGCATGAATTTTAACCAATGAAATGCATGATTTATGCGAATGTAAAATATTTAGATATAAACTTAGCATGGAGTGTATGAGATTATTCTTTTAGTTGCTATCCAGCTGGCTTACTGAACATCAGTGGTTCTACTCAGGTGCCCGTTCGTACCTGAAATAATGCACAGAGGGGCATCTAAGGTCTTCCTCCACCAGTAAAGCTGGAATGTCGCCATATGACTTTTACTGTGTCGTTGTGACAAAAAACCGAACCAAAAAAATTATTTTAGTAATTTTGTTGAATATTTATGATAAAAGATTCATTATAATTTCTATCTCACCACTTTAACTCTATGTACCCATATATCATAATGTTTGAAGAATCAATGTATTGCTGCATTTTTTGAGATTACGTTTTATTTTACCCTCACTTCAACACAAGTGTGGTCTGATATCAAAACTTACTTTTTTGCTGTACATTATTAGCTCACCTGTCACAAAGTGACAGGGTGAGCTTTTGTGATCGCTTTTCGTCCGGCGTCCGTCCGTCCGTCGTCCGTCCGTCGTCCGTCCGTCGTCCGTCCGTCCGTCCGTCCGTAAACTTTTGCTTTAAATGACATCTCCTCATAAACCACTGAGCCAATTTCATCCAAACTTCACAGGAATGTTCCTTTGGTGGTCACCTTTAAAAATTGTTCAAAGAATTTAATTCCATGCAGAACTCTGGTTGCCATGGCAACCAAAAGAAAAAACTTTAAATATCTTCTTTTAAAAAACCCAAAGAGCTAGAGCTTAGATATTTGGCATGAAACATCTTCTAGTGAATGTCTACCAAGTTTGTTCAAATAAAAGCCCTGGGGTCAAAATTGGCCCCGCCCCAGGGGGTCATTGATTTTCCCTATATGCATATAGTAAAAACTTAAAAATCTTCTTTTAAAGAACCGTAAGAGCTAGAGCTAAGATATTTGGCATGAAACATCTTCTAGTGAATGTCTACCAAGTTTGTTCAAATAAAAGCCCTGGGGTCAAAATTGGCCCTGCCCCAGGGGGTCATTGATTTTCCCTATATGCATATAGTAAAAATTTAAAAAATCTTCTTTTAAAGAACCCAAAGAGCTAGAGCTAAGATATTAAGCATGAAACATCTTCTCGTGAGTGTCTACCAAGTTTGTTCAAATTAAAGCCCTGGGGTCAAAATTGGCCCCGCCCCGGGGGTCATTGATTTTCCCTATATGCATATAGTAAAAACTTAAAAAATCTTCTTTTAAAGAACCATAAGAGCTAGAGCTTAGATATTTGGCATGAAACATCTTCTAGTGAATGTCTACCAAGTTTGTTCAAATAAAAGCCCTGGGGTCAAAATTGGACCCCGCCCCAGGGGGTCATAGATTTTCCCTATATGCATATAGTAAAAACTTAAAAAATCTTCTTTTAAAGAACCCAAAGAGCTAGAGCTAAGATATTTAGCATGAAACATCTTCTAATGAGTGTCTACCAAGTTTGTTCAAATAAAAGCCCTGGGGTCAAAATTGGCCCTGCCCCAGGGGGTCATTGATTTTCCCTATATGCATATAGTAAAAACTTAAAAAATCTTCTTTTAAAGAACTCAAAGAGCTAGAGCTAAGATATTTAGCATGAAACATGTTCTAATGGGTGTCTACCAAGTATGTTCAAATAAAAGCCCTGGGGTCAAAACTGGCCCCGCCCGGGGGGGTCATTGATTTTCCTTATATGTGTATAGCAAAAACTTAAAAATCTTCTTTGGAAAAACCCAAATAGCTAGAGTTTAGACATTAAGCATAAAACATCTTTAAGTAAATATCTACAAAGTTTGTTAAAATAAACGCCCGGGGGTCAAAACTGGCCCTGCCCCAGGGGTGTCATTGTTTTTAACTATATGTGTATAGTAAAAACTTTAAAATCTTCTTTTAAAAAAGCCAATGAGCTAGAACTTAGATGTTTAGCATGAAACATCTTCTTATGGGTGTCTACCAAGTCTGTTCAAATAAACAAATAAAAGCCCTTGGGTAAAAATTGGCCCGGGGGTGGGGGGGCCTATATACAGGTGAGCGACCTCAGGGCCATCATGGCCCTCTTGTACTACTTAGGTGCCCGTTTGTGCCTGAAATAATGCACGGAAGGACGCCTGCTGAGGTCTTCCTCCACCAGTAAAGCTGGAATGTCGCCATATGACCTGTACTGTGTTAAAGTGATGTAAAACCCAATTAAACAAATCAAAATATAACTTAATTCTCACACTAACAAAAGTGCATTTTTAGGCAAAATTTCATAAAGTTCTGCCTGATTACTTTACAGGTACCATGAGCTTTAAGTAACAATGCCTTGTTAGTAGCATTAATTTTGGAGGGTTGAAACTTAGTTTCATGCAAATGCTGAACAATTGTACTTTGTGCACAAACAAAATGGATGATGAATAACATAGAATAGTATGTCACCTAAGTGTAGTAATTGGTTAAGTCCTCCTAAATTTAATAGGAGTTAACCAGTTATTGCACTAAGGTGACGAAAATGTGGTAAAAACATGACATCGAAGAGTTTGCACATTGGGATCATGATTTGCGGCATTGCAAAGGCTTTTATTTAGAGCGTTTGTAATATAGAAATATTGCTTAGTCTTAATATGTTTTGTCAGAAAAACTTTTGGTATAAATTTACCTTATGATTTATATAGGGAAAGTTTAGCTTATTTAGGACAAACATTGACTATAAACTAGCCTTTGCCATCAGTGCAGAGCTTGGCAAGCTCAAGTATTTGTGCAGTCTGACTGACCAGGTTCTACACTGTTGGCTGCTTAATGCAAGCACAAAATGCAGCGGTTGCCTAGTGGCTGAAATGTCTCTGGCTCCCAACTCGGGTATCTTAGGTTCAAGCCCTACTTAAGTCATCACCATATATCTTAGTATGGCACAAGTACTGGTATTCTTAGCCCTACCGGAGTCACAACCATATTTACACATACCATACCAGTACAGGGTAGTTAAAGGGAGCAGACTCAAAGATGGTGCAAAATTTAAAATATTAAGCTTCAAGCTTTTATCACAGTCAAGCTGAGATTAGTATAAATAAACATTAGGTATTTTGATACTAAAATCATTCCCATTATCAACAGTGTACCATGCCAAATTTATTTACAAGTCCATTCATGCACAACTTTTGTTTTGTATAAAATTTTCTTTTAAAGATTTGATGAAAATCTGTTGTATATATTTTATCATTGTTCAATCTTTTCTAAGTGCATGGAATACAAATAGCCAGTGTTCTTTTGTTTTCATAAAGATTTTTCCGCATTTTTCTCCCTGCATTTAAGAAGTTTTTCTTCACTTGTATTATTTTGCGATGATATATTTTTGCTTGTGTATGTAGAAAAAAACAATACTCTATTGTTTTCAGTGACAAAGAAAATTCATAACAGCATGTCTTAATTTCTTAAAGTTAAAAAACAGAATTACTTTTTTGCAATGTTAGCCTTAGTAACTTATTACCAATTTGGTAGAGTATCTTTAACTAGTATAGTTAATTTTTGTAAGATTTATCTTATATAAATAATTCAGAGTCAGGTCCGATATGAAATGTTACCCAGCTAAAACCAAAGGTGATAAGCCTTTGCCAACAGTATAGAGCCAGGCCAGCCTTTACATCCGTGCAGTCTGACCAGCCTTTATACTGTTGGCTGATCAACTTGAAATATCCCAAAAATTAATAATGCAAAGTTCAAAAAAAAAAAGAAATGGAAATATATGATTCTGAAAAATGGAAATGGATGATTCCATAAATTCGGCAGGTTATGTCTATATCATATTGTATTTAAGGCTGGATTCATGATTTTGTTTGCCAATGATATATTTCTTTTGATTTTTATAGTCGTGAAAAAAAGAGAAGAATTTCTAATGTAATTGTCGGCGGACATAAAATATGATAAGATTAAAGTGTTAGAACTTAGAAGAATGATTTTATAGTGTGTAAGTCTTCAAAGTTCTTGTATATAAATAATATGCTAACACATGTTTAATGTAGTGTATATATGAAGTCACAAGTCCTGTAGGATTCTATATACAAATTATACATACATGTATTTATATTGAGTATCATGAAAAAAATGTATTTTTCTATTTCAGCCCACTTACAGACCAAGTTTCCAGCATATGAGAGAGTGGCCTTGAAAGATAGTAAGTGCTTACCTTCTTCATACACCTTTCCTATTCAAGACATTTTCAGGAGTTTTCATATAGCCATAATTATACGCAGAATTAAAAAATAAAAAGTGAGATTGGTAACACCCAATTTTTTTTTCGCTCAAAATTTTTCAGTAGTTATATTCCAACAACATGCCAAGTTTAAAGAAATTCTATTGAACAGTTTTAACTCTGCCTATATGTCTATATGAATACTCCCGAAAATGTCGTTAATTACGGTATCTATAATGGCAATCCTTTCCTATTGAAGCAGACCGAAAACCATTACGCCTTTGCCGCCAATACAGTCAGGCCAGCCTGTAAATCTGTGCAGTCCTACCAGGCTCTACCAGGCTCTATACTTATAGCTGACAAACGTATTTACATCTTGTTATCCCTAAAATTGATAATACATTGATCCAAAAGTGGAAAATTTGACAAGCCCATTTAGAAAATTTCTGCACATTATGTGTTCTAAATAATAATTTTCTAAATAATGTTTATAAATGATTGTATTTTATTTTTCAGCTGGTTTTGTACGACCTGTGGTCATTTTCGGTCCCCTTGCAGACGTGGCAAGGGAGAGAATTCTCAAAGACTGTCCTGAAAAGTTCCAGTCTCCACGTAAATATATAACCTTATTATTTCTATTTATAACTTCATGTACTATTTATAACTTTCATGTATTGAACAGGGGCCGCCCAAAGTTAAAATGTTATATGGATATCGTAGTTCTAAATATAGAAGATTCAAACTTTATTATTTTATTCTATTTATATGTTTGATTATGAATTGATCAATAGTTATTCATAAATGTAAAATGTTGCAGGAATATGATATTTTCATAATATAAAAAATATTCTGATGTTGCAGGCATTTAAGACGCTTAGAAAAATATTTCGATTTCTTTATATGTTGTATGAATATGGTATTTTCATAATATAGAACAATTTTGATATATGTGAGAAAGCCTATGTTTCAGGCATTTTAGAAAATTATTCTAATTTATTTAGAATTGATTGTTGGTCACCTTTTTTAAAAAAAACATGGGAAGTTTTTTTAAAAAAAAGTGAAATCGAAAAAAAAAATTGAATTAATTCATAAGTTGTGTATTTGGTTTAAGGAAAATAAATTCAACACCCAATGAAAATCGGGTTTTAAAAAAATTTTTCTATTTATAACTTTTGGTTTTATATTATAATTTTATTACAGTGAATGAGAGTCAGAAGAGTGAAGAGAGGAAAAGTAGATCTGGTATAATACGTCTTGGTGCAATTAAAGATATTATAAGTCGAGTATGTATTTCTTTTATACAGTTTACAAAAAAAACCAAAAACTTGTCTTATACAATGTACTTTTAAGTAAAATTCTATGATTTAATAAGATCATATCTCACTGTGTGGAGCCAGTACAATATAGAAATTTGGTTATAGTTCCATTCCTTTAAAGAAGTTTCATTAGTGAAAGGCTTAATAGATGAAAATTTTGTGTACACCGTAACGATTTGTCAAGGTGATGTCATATTAATACTTGATCTTACACACTGCTAATGGTATTAAATAAAATGAAAAATTGCCACTTTTACACTGTAGATTGTTTCACCCTATTACTAATGATTTTGTGTTGTTTATTTCAGAGAAAACACTGCCTTATAGATGTAACACCACATAATGTAGATAGACTAAACTTTGCCCAGTTTTACCCCATAGTAGTATTCCTGAAGGCCGACTGTAAAACTACGGTGAAAGAATTGCGGACCAAGTGGGCGAAAGGTTCTAGTAAACACCCAAAGAAATTGTACGAACAGAGTTTGAAACTGGACAAATTCTATCATCATTTATTTACAGGTAAATAAATAGTAACTGTAATATATGATTTCAATAATAATTATTCTGATAAATAGGAATGCATGGTTTATACCAAATTATTGAACAAATTTTTTATTAAAAACACAATAGAGGGCCTTAATGGCTGAGCGATTTGAGTTGCTGACTTAAATTCACTTGCCTCCAACCACTGTTGGTTCGAATCCCCTCAGGGATTTTGGATTCTGTCTTTGTGAAGAAGTTATTCAGATAGGTTATGGAAAGTCAACAGTTCTACATGTGGCCTGTTTGGATTTTGTAATGTTAGGAAGCTATGCATATACATTACAGAAAGATGGTGGTGCTAAAGTTGGTGGTTCTACTCAGCTGCCTCTTTAATTTGTTTGTTTAAATTTTACACATATTTGGACAAATCTTGGGGGGTCAGGCCACACAATAGGCTTTCATGAATAACTATCTTGTAATTACCATTTTCTCTACAAGTGATATCTAATTTAAATGAGATTGGTGTTTTACATAAATCTATATGAAATGACTGTTAATGCTGTACAAAATAAATATGATTTTGTATAATTTCCGGGTTTTTTGCATTTGGTTTATATTTACATTACGCCGACGTAACCACAACAGTTTGAAACTTTGGTACAAAAAGTTTTAAATGCTGAAAAAATAAAAGATTTGTAAAAAAGGAGGGTTGGTTGTATATTACATTACGGACATTTCAAAAGTTAGAGCTTGGTTTAAAAAGTAATTAATTGGGATTGCCCAGAAAACAAAGCTGAGTAGGAAAAAAAAGTTTTTGGGTTTTTTACTTTATTTTGTTCTTTCCCCCAAAATGGCGAGGTTTTCCCTTTGGGTTTGAATCTTTTTACTTGGTTTTATGTAAACATTCTAAAAAGTTACAAAAAGGTGGTTTTATCGGGACCGCCGAAAAAATGCAAAGGGTCCTTAAAATCGGTTAAACAAAAAAAAAAAAAAATAAAAACTTAATTTAGTACCACCCATCTTACTGCTAATTCTTATGTTATATCCATTCTTTTACAGCCTGAAGAAGACATCAGCGACGACTACTTATTCCCGATGTCAAATCGGCTAAGTTTCTCCGGGAACCAGGAGAGCGACAGTGATCTTACAAGAGCTCTAGACGACATGGATGGCTCACCTACACATAAAAAACGATTTCTAGTCAGATCTTCGTCGGATCCGAGTGTGAACACGACGGATCGTATACCGGGTATTCCACCATACCCAGACCCACCTAGATACCATAGATCTCCTAAAGTAAGTTGTTAGATACCATGTTCAAGGTCGTTCTCTGTTGGATGTATAATTATGTAGTCAACTTACTTTATTATTTGATCTTTTATGGAAGTATTGTATTACATGTATATAAATTGTTTTGTACATTGTTAAGGCTCACAGGGAAGACTGAGCTAACTGTGTTGCCTCATTTAATAAAGTCGTGAGTACTTACTTACTTACTCAATGTGTTTCAATTCATAAAATGATATATTAAAGGAACCCAACTGAGGTCAAAAAGCATTAAACCATAAAATTTGAAATTCTTGCATACATTTAGAGAAGCAATTAAAATGGAAAAATCTGCAAAGATGATAAAGAATTATGCACAGAATTAAATTGAAAAGCAATTTTTTTGAATTTCTAAGCCCCATTTGCAATGCTTTTCTCTTCTGGTCATTTTGCACAATAAAAATAATTATTCTGGAAAAAACAGGATGAGGAAATGATTTGAAACTTTTGGAAATTCCCGAGCTTGTCATCTAATATAATTTTATTTCTATTACAGCTATTATATGATGGTCACCAGAACTACCAGGACGTAGCTTATGATGGTAAGATTATCCCTCCTTACTTTACACTTAAAAAAACCCAACAAATAATAAAAAATGGAATAAAAAATTTTAGTGCTTTGACATTTGTAGTATTTAAATCCCTTTTTCGAGGATGCAAGCCATTGGGCCGGGGGGTGGGTTTGGGAGTTTTACACTCGGACAGGCAGTTTAACCACATTGATTACCCCGAGCCAGTTAGCACTATTTCAATGCTTTAACAAATAAGCTTTTTACAAAACATTACTGAGTCTTTAATCCTCAGAGCATGTTTTTTATTTAACTTATCTTTTCAAGAAAAACTTAAATTTCATATAAGGTTCGAACTCCGTGGGTTTTACTCGGGACCTGTTTTTGCCTGATAATTTACGGAAGGCACCCGAGGCTTTTCCCACCGTAAAGCTGGGAATGTGCAATTGACCCTAACTGTGTTGGTGTGACGTAAAACCCAACCCAAAAAACAAAATTTTAAATTGTAGATATAAAAATTATAAACACGGTCGAAATAAGATATATATTTCTAATTCACTGAAAACAAACAACTAACCTTGGATCGTACGTTGCAGACTCGTATACTCAAAGGTCGGAGGATAGATATTACCCATCATATTATGCAGATAATTACGATCATCGACGCACCAACATCGACCCTTACGCTACCATATCACCTGCTGAAAGATTACGCGGACGATTGCCGTCGGACCAACAGTGGAATGATGGGTAAAATATATTTATTTTTATATACAACTCGTTCAATAAATTCAGTATTGAACCTACACTCGTTCAATATCCTCTATATATAGAAACATGATTTAAGTTCCTTGTACAGTGTTGAAAAAAAATAAAAAATTCGGCTGATGATATGCATGTAAAGCATGAACGGAGAGTATTGAATAATGTTCACTAATGGTATTAAATATTTCAAAATGAACTTGTATATCTGAGAGGCCTTTGTGGCCATGTAATCAAAGTTACTACAGACAAATTTTAAAGGCCTTTCATCTATGGATATTATAAGTGGTTAAGTAAGCGGCACAGAAATATTGATGAGAATTGTATTGAGAATCTAAGGCAACCTATGATGTAAATGTTAAAATTATATATTAAAATAAATATATCAATTCAGAAACTATTTATGTGAGAAGTCAATTCAGAGGGAGAGGCACAGTATGTCCTTTTCATCCAGTAATGTTTAAAAGTCACCATAGCAGATTAGTTGTGACTTTAAATTCAGCATAAGGAAAAAAAACATATTACTTTCAAAATTAAGATTAATGTTATTCATTGCCATCATTATGTTATGTTATTTTACAGATATGATGACAGACAGAATCAACAAGCACCAGATCCGCTGTACTCTCGTCCGTTTCCACGGCAACATCAGTCATCTCATCAACCATCATCGCCAACGGTACGAGCCTCACCTTCATCATCGCAACCATCTCAGCCGCAAGATCAAAGGGTTTGTATTTGAGTTTGATCAGTTTACATCAACTAAAGTTATTTATAGCTACTTGATTGGTATGTCAAACTTCGGTCCTGTGTATGGCAGTGTTGTATTTTTCATGCAAAAGAGCCTGTTGTTAGTTTCTGAAATGAAGAATTGTTGAAACTTACCAAAAAACAATATTTGGGAGAAGCTGTATGCGTGCATATCAAACAGCAGTAGTTTTTAAGTAAATTGACTTCACTAGATAAACTTAGAGCATAAGATCTACAAGCCTTAGAGCATGAAATTTGTAAGCTGTGCAAGATCTTGGATGTCATGGGGAATATGTGATGAAGCAAAATTATCAAAAGTCCTTAAGTTTCGATCAATTTTAAATAACACATAGAGGGCACCTGGGGTTCTCAGAAAAGTTATTCTAACACCTTTTACAGTGTTATTATGCCTAAAAACAAAAACTTCCAAAATTAAGAAAATTTAAGAAAATAAGATTAAAATGTGCATCAAGATAATAAGATAAACTTGTTCTATTTTACAGCAACCATACAACGACAATTCCTCCTACTCCAGTGACTCGTTCACAAAATACACATCTAATCCTGCCAATAAACACGATGATTCCAAGTTACGTGAAAAGTTTGCCAATGTGGGCGGACCTGGAAGACAAATGGGGCGGAGCAATGATCCATATAGGTATGTACTAGTCTCTGATTGGTCAGAAATAGCTTCTCCTATAAATAGACCACACCTAACGAGCCTTTGTCACAGTTTATTGAAAAATTTTGGATGTATTTGAGATCACCTTATTAACATTAAATGGACAATTCATTATTTTATTATCAGTTCAAGTGTAGTAAATTATCATTTTATTGTTGCTGATATCCTACTTTATAAACAGAAGATGGTGAAAAATCATACAACATTCTTTATCTCATTGCTCATTATCATCCTATTTGATTTGCTTATTGCTGCTTATATAGTGTAAAGCCAAGCTATGCCTGTCCTATTTATCCTTGTTAATGTTATGGTTTTAACCATTTCTAATCTCAAATATAGGCAAGGTCATGTTGGGTAAGTTTTGTCATAATTACTCGCCTATAAGACAGGTCGCCTATAAGACTGGACACACCTATAAGTCGGGGGTCCAAATTTTACATAAAAATCTAAGTCACTTATAGATGTTAATGTTTTTCTATGGACTTTCTTGACCTGCTTTTCATACTAAATGTATGGAATTACTTTCTTTATGGTATTGAATGTTTGTTACTTTGCTTTTCTATGAGAAACTGTGATGTTTTTTCTTATCACAAATGCCTCAGAAGTATGAATTCAGTTTTGATTTTTAATCAAAGAAATCAATTCTGCAGTATTCTAAATTTGTACTAAAGACTTCACTAGTGGTATGGCAGTGCACAAAAATTGAATATTGGAAATATAACTTATACTTGTGGGTAATATGAAGTGTAAGAACCAACAAACTTGAAGCAAAATTTTGGGTTAAATAGAGGGAAAAACATTCTTGTAGGTGAGTAAATTGGGAAAATATGATGCATATCTTGTCATAAAAAGTACATAAATGGTAACAACCTTTCAGATTTTTACGTAGCACAGTCAATAAAGTGAACACGAGTAACGTAGATAAATCAAAACTGTCTAAGATTTATAAAACCAATTAGATTGAAGGGAAAGTGGGTAAATAGGGTAAATGTGTTACATAAATTTCTCTTGCCTGAAAATATAACATACCACGTGTCGACTTTTCAGATTTACACGTAGCACAGCCAATAAAGTGAGCACGAGTAACGTAGATAAATCAAAACTTTCCGATCTCTCAGCCAAGTTCAGGTAAGTTGTTGATATTGTATGTAGGAAAAAAAGATAAACAGAAGAAAATTCCTCAATAAAGTGCTTAAAGAAAAGATAAACAGAAGAAAATCCCCTCAATAAAGTGCTGGATAAAATTGAGAGGAGAAGATGGAAGAAATATGACAAAACAGAATTTTTTTATTATTATTAGGTTGTTATCACCTTCATCTTTATCATCATCATTATTATCACTGTTTAGATGGTGTTCTTCTCTTTGGATGCATTTTTATTTTCGGTCATTTTATTTTCACCAGTTCATTAGTGTGGCAGAAAAGGGGAAATTTTAACCACCGCAAAAATATCCAAAATTACAATATCATCAATAATATCATTAAAGTTAAAAGTTAGAGATTTTTGAAAGTACATAAACTATACTTTAAAATATCACTTTAAATCATTTTGATCATGTTCATTAGGGGCATCCTCATCATCATAATCATCATCATCATCATCACTATCATTTGGTTACAGAGAAAGACATCATAGAAAAAAGGCAGTTTGCGTTGCTATCATTATTATGAACTTCATCAGTCACATCATCAGCATCAACAGCATTGTTATATTTTACACCATCATCATCATCACTGTTATCATCAAACTGTCATCATCATCGCCACCATCATCATCAACATCAACATCATTATTATCGTCTTTATTTGTAACATTTGTTCGTTAGAATCAAAAATATCAATTTTACATTCACTCATTACTGATTATTTTTGCTACTTTTCATTTGAAACTTGTGTATTTGCTGACATTATTTTGTCCTTGCTGACCTATTCTTGTGTAACTTGTAGTATTTGGACATTATTCAAAATGTTTTGCCATTCTCGTTTCTTTATCCGTGCGGACTAGATATACATGTATTGTACAATACTGCCGCCTTTTTACACTTTATGCAGAACTTATTCAGCTTTGAACAAACTTTTATTTTGTTTTCGCTTTTAGCATAATTATAGATTGAACCATGGCTTTTAACAATAAGAAAAATGTACTTTTTTTATTTTTAATTCACAAACTTTGCCTTGTTTATGATGACAGTAATTTTTCCAGGGGTTACTTTTTAGTTTTGCCTTAAAGTATAGGAGGAATTCAGTAAAATTGTCCCAGAAAAATAATACTAATATCTGAAGAAAGAAAAAAGGATGAAATTCAAGGGAGAAAACCCATTGTATATTTATATGAAAATGAAAAATTATCTCCCTTTTTCCTAGATTCCCTGTCTATTTTTATATTCCTTTGCATGTCCTTCACCTTGTAATGTTAGTGGAAAATATACAAGTCATATTCGAGGCAAACTGTCAGCATATTGTAACTGTTGTATTGTATGTATATATTTATACAAACAGAAATTTCACGCATGATAACAAAACAGATAACAGTGCTTGAACCTATCCATGTATATATATATATTTCCATCCCCCATTGATTTACAGAAGTGATGAACGTTTGAAAATTAGTAGCAGCAGCTTAAACAGTGCCAAATCTCCGACCAACGGAAGTCCCGGCGGTCCGAGGAATCCGGGACTTGAACCGTCACAGCATGGAGCTGGAGACGGTCGATCAGGAAACCAACGAAAGCAACCACCACCGGTACCTATTAAGACTTACAACCTAAAGGATCGGGGAATTGAACCGGATGACCAGAAGATCCGGAATTATGAAAATACAACCAATCTCAGGTGATTATTGATGCATTGTTTCCTTAGCTATATTAAGGTCGTTACAAAATGTAGTAGCTCACTTAAAATTTGAATAGCTCTTTCACATTGTGATTGGCTATCTGGATATATGGCCCATTATAATACTGAATGTTTGTAACAACACTTTTCATTGGGTAATCATGGCATTTATATAGTTTTAGATACACGGCTGCTGTCAGTTTATGAAGAAATCTCAATTTTGTTCTTCAAAGAGGAAGTTTGCTGTAATATAAATTTTTTGTAAAGATTCTTATTGGTTATATGGCTGTATATAAACTATTGTTTGCAATTTAACCCTCGCCTACAGGCTCGGGTAAAACATTAAAATAATTTAAAAAAAAACAACATTAATATAGGGCCAGAAAACGTGTCAAAAATATTTACGACTAATACTATTAAAGGATTTCCACTGAAATTCAAAAGTCTGAAAACATAAAATTTAGATTAACTGCGAATATTGGAAAGTCTTACATTTGATCAACTTGGACACTTCAAACTGAAAAAATATCAAAGAGATAATACAGAAATTTAGTCAGAATTAAATGGAAAATAAATAAGACTTTTAGCCCAATTAGAGTTATAAGGTTTTCATTTTAGGTCATTTTGCCCCATAGAAATGATTAGTGTGTTGTGATTTGTGACTCAAAGAAGGTTTGAACCTATGATCCCTGTGATGAAAGGCAGAAACCTTAGCTACTAGGCCACCGATCCACCTGTTTGACATAATTATTCTTTTGATTTATCATAGTCATTTAAAGCCTCAAAAATGAATCAACTTTTACTTCTTTAGAAAGGCACACATGAATTTTATAATGTTTAAGTAATGGTTTAAGAGCATGTTAGATGCTTGTTTCCTGAAGAAAGTGAAGCTTATGAGGAGAAAAAATTGTCAAAAAAATTACCAAAAATTTAAACAAAGTAGATTTTGACTTCCATACAAAATACTAAATCACTATAACTGTACTTATTGCCAAAAATGGAACAGAAGAAAAAGATAGTTCAGGAAATTTTCAGGGGCATAATGGTATTTTAATCAAAATGAAAACCTTATCAGTTTTGATAAAATGTTACTAAATTAGAAGCAAAATTATTTACCAAAACTTTAGGCACACGATGATTAATGTTGTAATATTCATATTGTTTCAGGGGTTATGAATATCACGAAGGAAATCCCTACACGCAGCTCCCCCATCGTAACGGAGACGGACACCAAAAACACAGAAGCATTCCAAATGATACGGATCGGTTCCCGGATCATCCTGTATCTCCATCAGAACATTATAAAAACGAGGACCCATATGAATGGGTGGCCCCACGAAGGCAACACGCCCCACAGAGGGCGCAAAATAGAAGTTCCGATTATCGGGACGAAATGCCTCCGCAAGCGCATAATCAAAATGGACGTTCATTTAATAATCAGATGTACATGGACTATTCAGAGTTAATGAGAATAAGGCAAGAAAGGGATCGCGAAAGGGGCCATCAAGATTACAACAGTCCCGTTGAACGGCCAAGGTGAGAGGGGATAAACGGGGTCATTGTCAGTTTATAACAGGAAATGGGTGGGTGGGGTATGGGGTTACCGAGATTTGCTGTTCTCTTGCCGTTACTGTGGAGATGAGAGGGATTTTGCCGTTCATTTTGACGTGGGTTTTGTTATTTTTTTTTTCTACGCATCTTGTGCTACATAAACTATCATAAAACCAGCATGCTTAACGCGCTTTTATGCATGCATTGACATGGATTATAATGGGAAGTTTATGTCCTTTTCGTTGCTTTTTTTCTTCCCCGTTTTTTACCAATTTTTTTTTTCCAACATGCATGTAGGCTTAAATATTTGCTCAAAGATTGATATTACATAACATTGTGATTGCTAAAAGCTAAATGAGGGATTTTTGGCGGGGGGTTTTGTATAAAACGAATTTATTGGTTTTGACTCCCCTCTCATCTTCATTATATTCAACATTTATTTTGATTTTTTAGTCATATATATATTTTTCACCACAGGCCTTTTTCTGCCTATAACAAGGGTCAGACTCTCTTAAACCCAAAGTTATGGGGAAAAAAATCCTAATTACCAAAAAATAAAACAAAAAATAAAAAAAATGTTTTGATATTTTTTTCTTTGGCAATACATTAGAAAAAAATTTTGCACTGGAAAATTCCCAAAATTTGTTAGGGTACCTTCCCCAAAAAAATAGGCAAAAAAAAAGGCCCCGCCCTATTAGTTTTCATTAAATAATTTTTTACCCCCCCATAGTCATGCTGTAGTGCCCATATACTAATATTATTAACCATTTATTTTGACGTTTTTACTTTTTAGCTCACCTGTCACAAAGTGACAGGGTGAGCTTTTGTGATCGCTTTTCGTCCGGCGTCCGTCCGTCCGTCGTCCGTCCGTCGTCCGTTCCGTCCGTCCGTCCGTAAACTTTTACTTTAAATGACATCTCCTCATAAACACTAAGCCAATTTCATCCAAACTTCACAGGAATGTTCCTTTGGTGGTCACCTTTAAAAATTGTTCAAAGAATTTATTCCATGCAAAACTCTGGTTGCCATGGCAACCGAAAAAAAAAACTTTAAATATCTTCTTTTTAAAAAACCATAAGAGCTAGAGCTTAGATATTTGGCATGAAACATCTTCTAGTGAGTGTCTACCAAGTTTGTTCAAATAAAGCCCTGGGGTCAAAATTGGCCCCCGCCCCGGGGGGTCATTGATTTTCCCTATATGCATATAGTAAAAACTTAAAAAAATCTTCTTTTAAAGAACCCAAAGAGCTAGAGCTAAGATATTTAGCATGAAACATGTTCTAATGGGTGTCTACCAAGTTTGTTCAAATAAAAAGCCCTGGGGTGAAAATTGGCCCCGCCCACGGGGGTCATTGATTTTCCCTATATGCATATAGTAAAAAACTTAAAAAATCTTCTTTTAAAGAACTCAAAGAGCTAGAGCTTAGATATTTGGCATGAAACATCTTCTAGTGAGTGTCTACCAAGTTTGTTCAAATAAAAAGCCCTGGGGTCAAAATTGGCCCCGCCCCGGGGGGTCATTGATTTTCCCTATATGCATATAGTAAAAACTTAAAAAATCTTCTTTTTTTAAAGAACCCAAAAAGCTAGAGCTAAGATATTTAGCATGAAAACATGTTCTAATGGGTGTCTTACCAAGTTTGTTCAAATAAAAGCCCTGGGGTGAAAATTGGCCCCGCCCCGGGGGTCATTGATTTTCCCTATATGCATATAGTAAAAACTTAAAAATCTTCTTTTAAAGAACTCAAAGAGCTAGAGCTTAGATATTTGGCATGAAACATCTTCTAGTGTGTGTCTACCAAGTTTGTTCAAATAAAAGCCCTAGGGTCAAAATTGGCCCCGCCCCGGGGGTCATTGATTTTCCCTATATGCATATAGTAAAAATTAAAAAATCTTCTTTTAAAGAACCCAAAGAGCTAGAGCTAAGATATTTAGCATGAAACATGTTCTATTGGGTGTCTACCAAGTTTGTTCAATAAAAGCCCTTGGGTGAAAATTGGCCCCGCCAGGGGGGTCATTGATTTTCCCTATATGCATATAGTAAAAACTTAAAAAAATCTTCTTTTAAAGAACTCAAAGAGCTATGGCTAAGATATTGAGCATCAAACATGTTCTAATAGGTGTCTACCAAGTTTGTTCAAATACAAGCCCCAGGGGTCAAAATTGGCCCCCGCCGGGGGTCATTGATTTTCTTTATATGTGTTTAGCAAAAAACTTTAAATCTTCTTTGAAAAAACCCAAATAGCTAGAGTTTAGATATTAAGCATGAAACATTTCTAGTAAGTGTCTACAAAGTTTGTTCAAATAAAAGCCCTGGGGTCAAAACTGGCCCGGCCCCAGGGGTGTCATTGTTTTTTAACTATATGTGTATAGTAAAAAACTTAAAAAAAATCTTCTTTTAAAAAAAGCCCAATGAGCTAGAGCTTAAATGTTTAGCATGAAACATCCTTCTTATGGGTGTCTACCCAAGTTTGTGCAAATATAAGCCCTTGGGTTAAATTGGCTCTGCAACTTTGGGGGGGGGGTGGGGGGGTTGGGGGGGGCCTATATACAGGTGAGCGACCCTCAGGGCCATCATGGCCCCAACTTTGTTTAAAGGGCATAACAGCATTTTTATAAAGGATTCATTTTTATTGATGTTTTAATAAATAAATATTTTGCTATTATTAGATATATGTTGAAAAGATCCCATTATGTGATCATTGTTGATATTGAATTGACCGTTTATGCTATCTGTTGATGTTTATAAGTACCCCCCAACAAGAAGGGCCTCTTGGAAAAGTTTCAGTCTAGATGCAAGGGAAAAAGGTGTATTGGTTTAATTTATGTTTGGCTTTTCACTGTTCAAGAAAGTAACTAGCAATTTTTCCACAAATTTTAAAACGAAAAGTAATATGCAGATTTCAGCAATTTCGCAAAATAGCTTATATGGGATTTTCACAAAAATTTAACGAAAAGTATCCTATACAGATATTCACCAATAAATGAAAATAAATATAGTTACAGATTTTCATGATTTTCTCAATTTAACGAAAGTAACTACATGTTTACAGATTTTCAAGATTTTCACAATTTGATTAAAGTAAATATACAGATTTTCACAATTTAACAAAAGTTAAACAAAAACATGGACATAATTCTGCTAGAATAGTTTTAGGCACCCGTTCCCCTCCCTTTTTCATAAGCATAATGAACTGGTCCTTTGGAAATTGGAACAGTACATTTTTAGTTTCGGGGGTGTCTAGATCAAAATATTTTGAATAAATAGCAAATAGTTCTTTAAGATTAAAATTGTCCTATGTACGCTTGATTGCCTGGATTTACACTGGCAACAAATATAGACAAGCTTTTGTTGCCAGTGTAAATCCAGTTAGTTTAAGATGCTAGTATAAAATACATGTATCCAATTAATATTTTAATTTCATTTATCAATATTTTACATAATTATATTAATTTGCTTATAGTTTTTTTTAATGCTAAGCTTTTTTTTTCATTGTTTAAACTTTGTATTATCATTATCATAAAATTATCATAATAATATCATGAAATTTATAATTATGTAACTATGTTTTGAAAAAAAAAATATAACCCATAAAAATATATAGCAATAAATATATTTGAATATATATATGTAGAGAGAGTATATATAATAATATTACATATCAATAATGTAAAAAAGAATTGTTTTTGTTTGTGTTTTCACAGATTGTATTTAACTATTAAGACATATAGGTGTTGTTGAAATTTATACTTCTTATTTTAATACTATATTTAATGGAAAAAACAATAAAACTTGTTTAGAAAAATAAATTATCTTTTGTTTATTACTTATTTTTAGTAAGTATAATTATGTTTTATGATCATAAGTAAAAATAGAAGAAGTTTGACAACCAAAATAACATCTTTCAGGTTCTGTGTTGAAAAATATATAAAAAAACTATGCTGTTGTCAAAGTGTTTGAATAAAAAATGAAAGAGTTATACCCATAGAAATCCTTACCTTCGAAATCCATTCATTAATTAAAACAGTATTTATATACAATGTATTATGGAGTGCATTTTACAGGTTTTAATAAAAAGAGCGTGTACTTTTTCTTCAGAATTACGGAGAGCAATATATTTATCCCGCTGTGGAAATTGAGTTAGTTCAATACTGAATTTATTGAACGAGTTGAATACATTTATATGATGCTAGCCTCTGCCTAGCATAATATTATTTTATTCAACAAGTTTAACAAATTCAGTAATGAACCTACACAAATATAGTATTCTGTTTATAACATACCCCAAAAAAAGACTGTTTAAAGTGAAAAAAATAATTTTTTTGATTGACACATTTCTCTACACTATGTTTATTGAACGCAAATGACTTCACCTCAAAATTGCACAGACATGCAATACCATTTTTATGGAGTCGAAAAAGCGGCACAGGTATGCAAGGAAAAAACAGAGAGAAATGTTCATTTCATATAAAATATAGCTGAATTGAGTAAAGCTTTGGTTTGGAAATAGCAAAAGTGGAAAAAATGGAAAAAAAAGTTATGGGAAGTTTTCAAGATTCATGAGGATAGAAAAAAATATTATAGGACAAAATTGTTCTTCTTTACATATATTATAATATATTTATTAACAGCTTCTGCTGCTTTTAAAAAGCTATTTTTCTTGCAGCTATTTTATTTTCTACTAAATAACATTGCTTTATCTTTTCTTTTAATTTATAAGCTTTAATTCTAGGACTTTAATTTCTTAAGAAGCTTTTATTCTTGGGGACTAGATTTAATTATAAACTTATTATTAATAACCCTTAGATTCGCTGAATATCTAATAATGGACATTTCCAACTTCCATTTTGGAACAGTGGATAAACAATTTTATAATGGGGCATCCATCCGTGGCTGAGTGGTTAAGGTAGTTGACTTTAAACCACTTGGCGCTCATTGCTGAAGGTTCGATCAACACCAACTTCTTTGAATTATTTCATTTTAGATTCAAGTTATCCAGCTAGCTTATGGAACATCGGTGGTTCTACTCAGGTGCCTTATTGTGCCTGAAACAATGCACAGAAAGGCACCTGAGGTCTTCCTCCACCAAGCAAGCTAGAAAGTCGCCATATGAACTATACTGTGTTGGTGCGCATAAAACCCCTCCAAAAATATTTTTTTAAAAATTAACAATTTTTGAGAAATCATGGGTGTAATTTTAAATTAGTCCACCGACAGTTAGTATTGGCTTTATACTGCTGGCAAGAACTTGATGGTTTATGTCTTAAGCTTATATTGGGTCATATAGTTAAAACTATTTATATATACGCCACTTATACATGTATCACTTCACTACGTTAGTTCTCAAATCTTTCTATTTAATATTAACAAATTGGTTGCATTTCATTTTGACCTTGTTGATTTGTGTTAAGTTTGACCTTAATGAAATGGAAAGTTTGACCTAAATGAAATGGGAAAGTTTGACCTAAATGAAATGGGGAAAGTTTAACCTTAATGAAATGGAAAAGTTTGATGCTAGTATTGACATGGAAAATGTTGTTCTTAATAAAATGGGAAAGTTTCACCTTAAAGTTTGATGCTAATGAAATGTTGATGTTTTGACCATAGAATGATATTATATTGACCTAAACGAAATAAAAATGTTACCCTTAATGAAATGAAAATGACCATAATGACATGACCTTTAATTGAAGTGACCTTAAAATTAATAGTACATTAAAGATTGACCTTGACCTTGTAAATATGTCAGCTGTTGAGTCAAACAGGACCCGCTTTGATTACTGCATTTTATGATATGGGTTATCTTTCCAGAACTGATGATGAACTTGAACGATTGAAGAAATCTCATCGAAAATTTTCCAAATCAACGGGAAACGTTGATAGAAACGAAAGCTCTGACCGGAAAGAGCGGGAGAAATTCTCAGCTTATAAAAAGCTGATTACCCCGGGTTTCTATGGCTCAGCAAAACATGCGTCCAAATCTCAGGACGAATTGCGGTAATTTGGATTGGATAAAAACTGTTTTGCTTTGTGTTAGCTAGTCAGTTTTTTCTTGTTGGCATGGATACTTAACATTTGTGGTGGTAGCTTTCCTTTCTTGGGAATACTCATTCTGTTTTTAGAATAGACCCGCAAGAATAGAGATGTTCCGGAACTCGGCAAATGTGGGTTTTTCCCATTTAAATCTGCGGTACAAACAAACTTTTACAGTTATCAACAGTAAAAAAACATACGGATCACTTATGTGAATGGTAATGCACCGTGAAGCTATGAGGGTAATTTTGTTTGTACCCCTTTCATTAAGTGGGAAGAACCATATTAGTTGATTTTCGGATAACATCTATTCCGTTTTTGTAAATTAATTTTCCTTTGTTCCAGCTTTGATTTTACCTAAATGCTTGTGGTTTGCAGCTATGTTTGTTTGGTGTTTTTTGGTGTCATTGTGTAGATAGTTTTTTGGGAAGTGCAAGTTTTAAAACGCTTTTGTAAGTCAGGAATTTTAATATCAAAAGGGATGGGGTAAGGGGGGATTATATGTATCACGTTGTGTTGCGTAGACATCAGTGACTTAGTATAATTAACTTGAATTTAGCTAATTAAAAAAAAGTAGCACAGACAGTTGAACAAAAGAAAATAGTATTTCAACATGTTAAGATGTAATTTATTTAATTTTAAAGGTGTATACTTGATAACACAAGTTGGGCTGACCTTATCCACACCCAAGTGTCTGAATTATGCCATATACGGTGTATGTCTAAAATACAGTTATTCAAAATAAACCATCTGCTGAATCCATGAAAAGGAATGGTCAAATTAACTGCCATTTAAACATGAAGAAAAAAAATACTGACGCAAATTTTTTGTCGATATCATTAAAAGATTTGCAACATGTAAAAAAAAGTCCTAAATGCAAGGACAAACTTTGCGTGGATGTTAGCTTGAAATTACCATCAAACCAAGCCTGTAACATTGTCAATTTTAACATGTTGGGCTCTCTGAAGGGATTTTGTTTTCCTCTATTTGAATCAAAACATATACAAATTAAATGTATTAAGATGAGCCTGTATGTAATAATGCTTTGTTTGAAGTAGAAATAGAAAAGTTTGCACATAAATGCATGGGTTATTGTATTAACTCGTTTATAAGACGCAAATTCTTTATTCAGTTATAAGTGCTGATATAGTACAGGTAGCCTTATGAGTGGCCTCTTATCTTTATTTTACAGGATTATGCAATATCTTCATATTTTATATAGCAAAATGCATGTATTTTTGTAGTAACTCGCATATAAGTCGAGTTTCTTTGTGTTCAGTAATAAGTGCTTTACAGTACAGGTAGCCTTATGAGTGGTCTTTGACTTTTCTTTACAGGATTACACAATATGTTCATGTTTTATGAAGCAAAATGCTTATACATGTATTATAAGTATAGTTACTTGTATATAAACAATTTTCTTTCTTCATTTATAAGGTCTGTGCAATATAGGTAGCCTTATGAAAGTTCTTTGTCTGATTGTTTTAGGACTTGATAATTTCCACATGTTTTCTCACAGTACAATATGAATAGTATTAAAGACAAACTTATAACAGATTGTTGCAATTCATTATTTCATTGATGATGATTGTATTAATAATTATTGAATTATTTATAATTCCTTATTTTCTGGAAATTTATCATTTACAATAAATACATCACAATTTTAAATCTTATTTTATTATTGATGTATTAATGATAAACTAGTATGTATTCATTTCTTTAATTCTCTCCATTTTATTGAAATTCATCTGAGAAATGAAAAGAAACAAAGTAAAAAGAAACAATAAATTAATAGAGGCTTTTAAATTCTAATTTAAAATTTGATTTTTATCAAGCTATTTGCATAGTTATGTATCCCACAATTCCTTATTCCTTAGAAAAAGCTTGAATTCCTGGTTCCCTGCTGTATTTGCTCTAGGCATTTCTGTGACGGATATATTAACCTTTAACCTTTCTGTATTCTGCTTGTAAATCAAAAGCTTTAGTTTCTCATTCATTCTCTTCATCAACCAATCATTCAATCAGTCACACTTATCATTGTTCATTTCTGGTATAAGATATTTTATTTTAATAATCACTTTTTGATTAACCCTTTTGGGAATTTTGTTAACTAAATCAAATATTAACAACTTCTGTAATTTCTGTTGAAAGATGGGATTTTAAAATACATTGGGAGTTAATACCAACATTAACAAGATCTGTTGTTTAATAATTCAGTGTTACATCCTTACAATTTTAACTCTGTCTTCGGTTTCTACAGGTTTCAATACTTTATTAACTTAACAGTTTATTAACAGTTAAAACATTTAAGATGTTACTTCAATAAGAGCATTCAGATTTTGCCCCACATTTTGTGATGCACTTGTATTTACGGTGATTTATAAATTCCGATTATTTTATTTTAAACTGGTTTTTGCAAATTTTCAAACCTTTGATTTTTCAAAATTATTTGAATTTACTGGAAAATACCAGGGGTATGTCTTGGCATTTACTTGCATGAGGTATATTGGAAGGTTAGACCAACTAAAAAACATTAATTAATACTTATTAAGAAATATTTCAATTATTTTTAGCTCACCTGAGCATATGCTCAGGGTGAGCTATTAGGATCACTCTTCGTCCGTCGTCCGTCGTACGTCGTCCGTCGTACGTCGTACGTTGTCCGTTCACACTTTTCAAACGACATCTCCTCTGAAACCATAAGGCAGATCATAATGAAACTTCACAGAGATGTTCCTTGTGTGAAGCCTTAACAAAGTTGTTCAAAGAATTCCATTCCATGCAGAACTCTGGTTGCCATGGCAACCAAAAGAAAAACTTTAAACATCTTCTTCCAGAAAACCCAAAGAGCTAGAGCTTAGATATTTGGCATGAAACATCTTCTAGTGAGTGTCTACCAAGATTGTTCAAATAAAATCCCTGGGGTCAAAATTGGCCCCGCCCCAGGGGGTCATTGATTTTCCCTATATGCATATAGTAAAAACTTTAAAAAAATTCTTTTAAAGAACCCAAAAAGCTAGAGCTAAGATATTTAGCATGAAACATATTCTAATAAGTGTCTACCAAGATTGTTCAAATAAAAGCCCTGGGGTCAAAATTGGCCCCACCCCAGGGGGTCATTGATTTTCCCTATATGCATATAGTAAAAACTTAAAAAGTCTTCTTCTAAAAAACCCAAAGAGCTAGAGCTTAGATATTTGGCGTAAAACATGTTCTAATGGATGTCTACCAAGTTTGTTCAAATAAAAGCCCTGGGGTCAAAATTGGCCCAGCCCCAGGGGGTCATTGATTTTCCCTATGTGCATATAGTAAAAACTCAAAAAAATCTTCTCTTAAAGAACCCAAAGAGCTAGAGCTAAGATATTAAGCATGAAACATCTTCTTATCAGTGTCTACCAAGTTTGTTCAAATAAAAGGCCTGGGGTCAAAATTGGCCCCGCCCCAGGGGGTCATTGATTTTCCCTATATGCATATAGTAAAAACTTAAAAAAAATTCTTTTAAAGAGCTAGAGCTAAGATATTTAGCATGAAACATATTCTAATGGGTGTCTACCAAATTTGTTCAAATAAAAGCCCTGGGGTCAAAATTGGCCCTGTCCCAGGGGTTATTGATTTTCCCTATATACATAGAGTAAAAAGTTAAAAATCTTCTATTAAAGAACCAAAAGAGCTAGAGCTAAGATATTTAGCATGAAACATGTTCTAATGGATGTTTACCAAGTTTGTTCAAATAAAAGCCCTTGGGTCAAAATTGGCCCTGCCAGGGAGAGGGGGGAGGGGGCAAAAGTCATTGTTATTCATTATTTGTGTATAGTAAAAACTTAACATCATGAAATATCTTTTAATGGGTGTCTTCCAAGTTTGTTCAAATAAAAGCCCTTTGGTTTCAACTGGCCCGGCCCTGGGGGCCTATGTTCAGGTGAGCGACCCCAGGGCCATCATGGCCCTCTTGTTTCAGAGATGGCAAATTGATTGATTCATTCATAATGAATATATTGGTTACATATTCAGAGATGGCAGATTTATTGTTTTGTAAACAAATATATTCATTTCATATTCAGGGATGACAGGGACATCAACCATGTGAGGGCAGGATCAGGCTCTTCCGACCAGCGGTCATCGCAAGCGGCAAGTGCTTTTGAGGCCTATAACAAACCAATGTCAACTTTTGGCAAGTCAGAACCAAACGGACCAAAATCAACGACCATGCATTCATTCCCAAGGTAATTAAGTTTATCTATGTAATATGGTATTGACTTGTGCTTTGGAAATAGGGGTTTTAAGTATTGCTGCAGTAAAATAATTAGAAGCTCTGGAAAATGGTGACTTTTTCATGAAATATATGACATTTGTTTAATGGTAGCTTGGTGTATAAAACCAATATAGCAAAATGAAAAAGTTTTCACATTATTTAATCAAAAGTGAAACTAATAATGCAAATTTTTGTGACAAGTGGCCTGTTTGGAGGTGTTATTTTTGGCAATTTTTTGCACAAATATGACCGTCCATTACATTTTATTTAATGTGTGCCTGTGACTTCAGCGAAGAATTTTTTAAGTAAAATTATAATTAAGGGGTTAGAAGAAAAAGACAGGTTGAGATTGAATTTATAGCAATAAGTTTATTTTGTGTTTCACAAACAAAAACAGAGATGGCAGTTCCTCTGAATTGTCTCCTCTTGAAGAAAAGTCTGAAAAAGATTCCATCGGAGATGAAAATGAGGCTGAAAATAGTTATGAGACATCTCCAAGGCAACATGAGCAGTCATGTGACAAAGGCAGCCAATCAAATTTGGACAGTGATAGGTCACATGATCGTGAGAGCCAATCAGATACAGGCAGTGTATCAACACCAGATACCATTATATTTAGGGGGTAAGGGGCATGCTGACTGAAAACACGCTGCTTTAATGCATGAACCTTCTCCACAGCTATTTTTAGCAACAGCTATTTTAAGCTACAGCTATTTTTAGCCACAGCTATTTTTAGCATCAACCAAATGATTACTACCTTTTTATACCTACCAATCTGAAACATTTTAAGCATCTTACATCATATGTTCAAGTTAAAAAGTATCTCTTTAATATATAACCTGAAAATTTACAGGGCAAAATTTGCAAGGCACGTCAGGTATTATGAGTATAACTATTATTAGTGTTTTTTCTGTGCAAACCTACTGTATCTGCATATAGATGAAGTAAGGGGATAGAGTAGTATTGCACACAATATGTTAAAGAAAGTGCATGATTTAATAGCTAAAACGATATTAATTTTAATGTTCAAATGATGAGGAAAAGTTCACTTAAGGATTTTCATGGAGCTGTTTCACAATAGATCTCAAATGCTGTTAGAAAGAGAAGAAAAGCATTTTTATTCCTTAGAAAATGTTAGAAATTTTATACAATTCAGGTTGGTATGTTATTTTTACTCACAGATCTGAATGCGTAATTAACAAAAACAGCTTGGCTTCAACTGAAGTGTAGTGCGTAACATATTAACTAAACATGTTTATAATATCTACAATTTACCCTCTATGATATATATTTGACATTATGAGGTTATTACACATTGTTGAGTACAATACTGAATTAAATTGGATGAGTACTCAGTTGTAAAACCTGTATTGAATTAGATGCTAGCCGAGTCTGATATAGGTTTTGCAGATGGTGTAGGAGTCCAATGAAATCAATATTGTTCTAAACCAGGTATAATGACCTCTTTATTTCACATATTTTGACTCAAAGTACAATAAGACTTTGAGTACAATAAGGAATGATATGATTTTTTTTTACCCTGAAAATGAAATGAGCCTAGATGGAGTTCTATTATTTATAATGCATTTAATAAAGATATTTTGGACTCTAAATTTGAAAATGAGGCTATATTTTTTGGACTCTGGAAATGAAATAAGGCTTAATTCTAAGGATTGGATCCAATAATGATTTCTATTGGAACATCACATGGTTCATTGGTTATAATTTGTACGGTGTGAAATAAAAGAAATTATTAAATTCGTATACTCATATACATGTACATGTATTGTACATGTATAACGAACCTCTTATGAAATAACTGCATGAAATTTTCCTATTCAAATTTGCCGAAGATATTTACCTACCGTATGAAATAACAAATTTTACACCCAAAAAGGAGAGAATTTCAAAGAAATTCAGCAATTTAAAAAGAATGGATGTATCCAATGCATGAACAACGATTTAAGCACTTTGCCAGCATGATTATTTTAATACAAACAATGCATGAATATTGCAATGAAAAAATTAGATATTGATTCTAAAACAATGATTTTTTTTTCATGCTGGGTGCCAAATACCGAGCAATGGTATTTCATGCTATAGCATGTTGTCCTTTAAGATTATCATAAGCATTTGAGAAAAACAATTGAAATATGAGTTGAGATAAGCATTTGAGATAAACATTTTGATGTAATTTGAGATAAACATTGAGTTAAATAATTGAGATGCATTTTGATAAACATTTAAGATAAGAATGGAGATCAGCATTTGAGTTAAACATTAAGATAATCATTTGTGATAAACATTTAGATGTAATTTGAGATAAACATTTGAGATCAGCATTTGAGATAAACATTTTGATGTAATTTGAGATAAACATTGAGTTAGATAATTGAGATAAACATTCTAGATAAGCATTTGAGATAAACATTTGAGATAAACATTGAGATGTGATTTTAGATTAACATTTTTAATTGAACATAAAAAAGCATTCGAGATATAAAGAAATATTAAGATGTAATTTGAGATAAACATTAAGATTAAACATACAAGCATTTGTGGTAAATGGTTCTCTCACCTTGTTAGCTTACTCAAGAAGCACTGGCCTGATTGGAGGACATCTAGCCTGCAGTGGGTGAATAGAAAATGTATATAGAAGCATTCTATAGTGCTTGCACAGGAAAAAAGCACAGGGTTTCCAGGAATAAAGAGTTTAATTTGGTATATCAAAACACTTAGAGAAACATTGAGACATAAAAAACAGCATAAAAAACAGCAAATGATAAACAAGAAATAATGTTGGGATGGACTTAATGTAGTGTTACTGTAATGCTGTAATGCTTTCCCGCCCCCCAAAAAAATTAAGTAAATCGGTTATTTCCTGAACTTTCTGGAAATGGCCGATTTATTACGATATTGGCTGATGTTAGAAATGTTTTGGCGGGAAATGATTACAGTAAGACTACCTAAATAAGTATCTAGAGATAGTTCTTCTCTGTGTACTAAGATTCAAATATTTGTGAATTAATTTCAGATTTGATCCTACGCAAGATGTGGACGAGAACCATACGGTGGTGGCAACGGCCCGAGGGGTGTTCACCAGTAAAGGTGGCGTGTTGGAATCTCCAGAGACCGGCGTCAGTATTGTGATACCAGAGGGAGCCATAGATCCCGATATTGAACAGGAGATATACTTCAAAGTGTGTCGAGATAACACCATACTGCCTCCGTTAGACAGAGAAAAAGGTGAGTAAGACTAATGTAATTATGTTTGTTTGTTTGGTATTTAAAACTAATTTTAACATATTTTTTGGTCATACCTTCATTAGACTTTCTTGGGTAACTAACCACTTATTACCAATTTCTTAATTGACAATTACTCTATAAATGACTGACAATTAATCCTACAGGATTTCTGGATTAGCGGGGATATACTTAAATAATTCTAATAAAAGTTCTGAAATTTAAAAGATATTAGGCTTACATTAATAAACAAGTAATTTTAAACTGTTATTTATTATTAGTTTAAACATATTTTATTGCATCAAATACTTGTAAAATATTATACTAATAAATAAAATTGTGCATTAATGTGTAATAATAGTTTTCTAATGTTATATAAGAAATATAACTCTTATGTATGTATTTTTACCAGGAGAAACATTATTATCTCCCCTGGTAATGTGCGGACCACATGGATTGAAGTTCCACCAGCCTGTAGAACTGAGACTACCCCACTGTGCTTCTGTGAATCCTGATAGCTGGTCTTTTGCTTTGAAGTCGAGTGATTCTCCTTCAGGTAAGTTATGGCGTGGTATAACCTTGTAATTTACTTACTATGATCTACATTGTTGTACCAAAATTATGTCATACAGTAACACCTCTGCATAGAGATATAGATTTTGGTTGTTGAGGATGTCATGGGACAAAATCATAGTATCTATATTTTGATGGCTCAATTAAGGATTTTGATGTTGAAATTCTTTAAAATAAGTACCCTTGGATCAGGTCATATGGAATATAGCAGGGCGCAAGTTAAATTTACTCACCTTAAATGCATAAATATACATGAACTTCAGTTGACATACTAGTTACTTCTTGAATTATCTACACCTATTGTTACCATGGAAATGAGGAAAAGATAGAAATGAATAAAAATCCCATTTTATGTAACTTTATGTTTTATTTTCATTTTTAGGACACCCGACGCAGTGGCAAAATATGACGCTGGCAGAAAAAGAGGGAGCTGCGGCACATAGTCGTGTAAACAAGAACAGTGTGTCCGTGCTTGTAGACCATTTTTAAACACCGTATGATTTTCTCTCCTCGACTTTATTTTCGGAAAGAAAATTTTGTTACCGACAATGCAGCGGTGTTGAAATTATTCAATCCTAAGTATTATTATTATGATGATTTTGAAGTGATTGAACAAATTGTCGATATACTTGGTGCAAATACTGAGAGGTATGATAAAATTGGGACAAAAGTGACGCTGCCGACGTTGGTGTTATCTCGCATAATGTGGCGAAAGATGTATATATTATGTACATGTCTCATTCATATCTCGTAATTTTTCCCCGTAAAATGTGCCGTATATTCTTCAAATAATTTGACATTGGTGCATATGACTGGCTGATAGCAGATGCTGAAAGCTCAGAGACGGACAGATGGCAGTGATTGATTGAAAAGGCGGATAATTTATCCTGAAAGAAGAGGTCCAAAGCTACAGCTGCAAGCCTCAAGTTTGATAGCTTAGCCTGAAAGCCAAGGTTTCATAATTAAGCCTAAAAGCCAAGGTTTCATAGTTAAGCCTTAAAGCCAAGGTTTCATAGTTTAGCCTGAAAGCCAAGATTTGATAGTTTAGCTTGATAGCCAATTTTCAATAGTAAATCTAAGGTTAATAGTTACACCTGAAAACCAAGGTTGCCATTGAAGACAAGATGGATACTTATCAGGCTGATGGCAGACACCTTTAAGATTCAGGCTAAAGGCTTAGATTTAATGTCCAGGCTGAAAGCTTTTAATGTTTGTTTAAAGTCCTTGGCAATATGCCAAGACTGATGTTTTGACTGGAAGGTACAACTAAATTCCTTTGCATGTCATCAGTGCTAATATATCTGTGGCTTACAACCAAGGCTGAAAGAGGCGTGTGTTTACTAGTCATAGTTAAGCCTGAATCCAGGTTTATGTGTATTACAGAGTTCTTATTTTTGTAACTACTTGACTATATGATAGACTAGGTTTATCACAAAATGATCACTTCTATAATTATGGTCCTTAACAGTATGTATAGCTAGAAAATAAAACTTTGAACCATAGCTCTGGCCAGTTGAAGGTTCAGAGTTGATGTTTCAAAACATTTCTACAATAAAATTTTGTATAGGAGTTGTGTTAAAACTTTTAGTACATTATATAAAGATATAAATCTCAGGTGCATAATGTAGGATAATAAATTTGTAGTATATAATGGTAGTTAAAAAAAAAGTTCCTTTGTTTCAAGAGATGAAAATTACGAAGTATCTGAAATATGCATTCATCGGAATTGTTAAATTTTTGTTAAAGTTATGTCTAATGATGTCATTGCTGATGTCATTATATTGTCTTCACTCCAATAAATGAAGGATAATAGTTGATAATAGGTGTTTAAGGAATTATTAACCCATATGAAAGAGTTATTATTAATATTATCAACTTATTTACAGGTACTATTTCAATATATCCAAATCCAACCTTACCTTCTTGAAATAACTATTTTTAGTTGATTTTTGTCATGCGAGAGAACTTGTATGCCACTGTGACATCATTATTCGAGAAAATGAACGGCTTGCCTAAAATGGTCGAAAAGGTTGTAATTAAAACAAATACATGTAATGTTAAAATTCAGGTTACATTGTAAAATTAACGATACTGCATTGTAAAATTAACGATACTGCAGCTTGCATAAACTATTTTTGGGGTCCGTTATCCGTTATTTGGAAGTAAAACGAATAATATTACATATTTGTCGAGTCTTATTTTTGTAGCAGATTTTTTTGTACATGTACAAGATTCATCAAATATTTTGTATAGCATATACAGGTTGTGTTTACATTTCCAAATGCATTCTTTTTTTTATTGCATTTTTTTTTGTAGTTTTTTTCCTATAATTATTTCAAAAGTAAAATTCAGGACATTTTTTAAACCAAAGCCAGTTTTGGGTAGTTATCATCATTTGTATTAACCATTATCTCTGCTGAAATAATGAAATGAACTTGTCCAGCTTCCAGTTTAAGAACTGTCCATTCCCAAATTTGGGAATGGCAAGATGAAAATTTTATGTATGTCGGCCAACATTGTAAACTGGTGGCAGAGGCATTATCATTTTCCATTCAAGCAGAGTGTGGGTTAATTGTAGAGTTATTTTGTGACACTATGATATTGTTCAGATTGCCAGTTCTGTATTTTAGTTTGTTCCAAGTTGACCTTTGAGCTAAAAGGTCATGACCTACTTTTATGACCTTCAACAGTACAGTTCACCCTTTTGGCTCTGTTGCAATATAGGTCAAAGTCCCTTTTTGTGACCTTTACAGTTGATTGCAAACACTGCAATATACATGTACAAAATGTAGATCAGAACCCCTTTTTGTAACCTTTTCCAAAAAGAGGTGACTTTTTTGCATTATAGGTCACAAGGTCACAATCCACTGAGTGACCTTCTCTAGTAAAGGTCAAATTTGAGTTATTTTATGAATGCATATTTTTACAGGGGTTTGAAGAGTTCGGACCAATTTGTTACCATAACTTGCTGCTTCTTCTTCTTTTTTCTTAAAAAAGACAAGAAAATACAGATAAAATATTTTGGATGGGAAAGGTCAAAGGTCACTTTGGTACAACCTATTATATATTATTTTTATTTTTTTATAACAACATGTATTTTTTTTTCTTTTTAATGTCATATAGCTTAAAGCCATTCATTTAGATTTGAAAAAAACCATTCCAGGTATTATGCAGTATTATGTTTTTCCATGTGTGATAAGGGTTGATGTAGAACTTGGTTTTACGTTGTCGCAACCAATGAAATGCAACCAAACTCTTTCCTACTTTTTTTCCCATGTATTTGATTATATTTTCTTTTTTGTAAGCTTACATGTCAATGGTTGAACGCAGTACAGTTGTAAGTCCTTCTGTATTTCATATAAGTTACTGTAGTTTTGCAGTCAACCTTCGATGTTCTTTTAAGAAATGTTGCTATAATAATGTATACAAAAGTGTAAATGAAATTAAATGTGGTTAAACTGCTTGTGTTTGATTTTAAGGATTTATTTATGAATTTAGATGAATTTTTTGTACTTTGCAAATTGTTGTTGCTATGGAAACCAAAATATAAAAAAAATATATTAATTTTTCTTTGTTTGATTTAATTTTCTTGTTGACTAATCTAGAGATATTGAAATTGCTTTTTGTGTTACTTATTCAACATAACTGAACTGGAAATCATTAACATTTCTGTTGTTTTGAATATTAATTTTTAAATGAATATTACTTAACTTGGTATACTGTATGTTCTCAAATAGATGCCCCTCCCATTATAAACACCCCCTTCTTGTTTTGGACATAGAAAAATTCAGGACAATTACAATAAATTAACAATAAAATTTTAACACCATAGGTGTTTCCAGTGTATGTAATGCACTGAAAATAGTTTTCAATTCCTTATATTTTGACAATATTTCACTTTTATTTCTAATACATGCACATGAATGCCCAAATTTGGAAAATGTAAAGCCGCTGGGGATGTTGATTAGAGAATATACGGTAGGTGTTTTTGGTCGATAAGAGAGGGTATTTTCTGTCTTTTGATAAAATTATAAACATAATATATGAATTTTTTCTTCACAAGCACAAGATAGTAATCTCCACTTACTTTAAAGTCTTTGTAAGTAACCATACAAACTCATTACTACTGGTCTGCAATTTTACATGGTTAAAAGTGTACAATGTATATATGTTTATTACTTTGGTCTGCAGTTTCAAATGTTTCACATCACATACTAAAACTCTTCACCTGCCCATACAGTCTGCACTCTCCCTTATATTTCAAATGATCAAAGATGTAAACTTACTAGACTGGGTCCACATTTTTCCACATTTTTCACAGGATTAAAGTAGAACATGCTGGCTAGACTGGGTCCACATTTTTCACAAGATCAAAGTAGAACATGCTGGCAAGACTGTGTCCACAATTTTCCACATTTTTCACAGGATCAAAGTAGAACATGCTGTCTAGACTGTGTCCACATTTTTCACATGATCAAAGCAGACAGACTGGGTCCACAATTTTCCACATATTTCACATTATCATAGCAGTAAAAACAGACCAGACTGGGTCCAAATTTTCCACATATTTCACATGATCAAAGTAGTAAACCATGCCTAGACTGGGACTACATTTTTTCACATGATCAAAGAAGTTTTACATGCTGCCCAGCCTGGGTCCACTTTTTCACATGATAAAAGAAGTTATACATGCTTCACAGAATGTGTCCACATTTTTCACATTAGCAAAGCAGACGGACTGGGTCCACAATTTCACATGATAAAAGAAGTCATACATGCTGGCTAGACTGTGTCCACATTTTTTCACATCACCAAAATAGTTTTACATGCTTCACAGACTGTGTCCACATTTTTCACATGATCAAAGTAGACAGACTGGGTCCACAATTTTCCACATATTTCACATGATCAAAGTAGAAGAACAGACCAGACTGGGTCCACAATTTTCCACATATTTCACATGATCAAAAAAGTAAAACAGACCAGACTGGGTCCATTTCCCACATTTTTCACATGATCAAAGTAGTAAACCAGACCAGACTCGATCCATAATTTTTCACATATTTCCTATGATCAAAGTAGAAGAACAGACCAGACAGGGTACATTTCCCACATTTTTTACATGATCAAAGTAAACAGACTGTGTCCACAATTTTCCACATATTTCACATGATCAAAGTAGTAAAACAGACCAGACTGGGTCTGCAATTTTTTATGATATTTTTTTTTTATGTTTTGTTCTGTTTTGTATAAATGATGATATATAGTAAATGGGTTTTTATAAATTATCACTAATACAACTATATGAACTGATCTCACTTTAAACCATTAATCATTGAGATAGAAATCGTCATAGCAACAGATGTGTCTGTTTTATTAAAAATTTCATTAAATATATTTTTATGTACATATATTTGTATAACTATGTCTATGAAAAAAAAGAATGTCATCTAATGTATGTTGAATATGTAAACATTTGTTTTATAATTGTTCATTCATCATTTATTTTGATATAATAACTATTTTAAGATTGGTTTTGAAGTTTTGATATATGCAATAAATTATGAGGATTTTTGTGTACAATAATACATTGTGTAAAACTGCTGATATTTTTCATTTCATTTGGAGCACAAAGTGCTCTGTTATGTTTTTTGGGGGGATTTTTCTTTTCTTTTTTTTTTCTTTTTGGGAGGTGGGGAGCAGGGGGAGGTGGGATTCTATGTCAATAAAGTAAGTTGTGGTTACTTTGTGTTGGGTTACAAGTCCATTTAAGATATTCAAGGGGGTTAGGGTTAAAGATTCAAACTTTTTTTCTTTTTTTTGTTTGTTTGTTTAGTGTAACATGCAAATAACATATAAGTTGATATAACAAAGGTTG